TGACCTGGACATTGTAAACTGGGTGGTGTTTCCCAATAAGTCCATCCTCAGGGTCAAGTTTGGGAGTATCGAGAGACGAGGGTCCCCAGACGTACAGTTCACCATTGATCAGGATGCCATTGTGTGGCCCAAATGGCTCAACCAGGTGGGGAAAATAATCTTTCATTCTATTGCATTTCCCAAACACCTGCCAACAACAAAGCTCAGCATTTACTGAAACTCTCATGGTGGATCCCTGTAAAATTGTGTGTTGCACCAACACTTTGAATTGTGCTCAGAAATGTACCGGGAGCCAATGTAGGTCTTTCAGGACCAGTGTTATATAGTCTTGGTGGCCACTCCCAGTAACCAGTCTAGCTGCCAAATGAGTTGGACAGAACTTCCCCCACCCTCTGCCATATTTAAACAATTAAAATCCCTCATTATCTTGACTGAATTGTGCTTTTAGCCCTTTTCTGAAATGCTCATGAGAAGCCACATTGAACTGGCCATTTCCCAGCAACTTCCAGAAAGGCTGCAGTAGATTTGTGTGAGTAGAGATGACTTCCTCATCCAAACCCTTCGAGGAAATTTAACCATCCCTGAAACTTTGAAGGCAGTCTATAATTTCAGGAAAGCCTCTCTCCCAGCTCTGCTTCAGAGAAAGGCTGGTTGGGGGAAGGAGCTTCCCCACCAAATTACCGTATTTTTTGCTCTATGACTCACTTTTTCCCTCCTAAAAAGTAAGGGGAAATGTGTGTGCGTCTTATGGAGCGAATGCAGGCTGCACAGCTATCCCAGAAGCCAGAATAGCAAGAGGGATTGCTGTTTTCACTGCGCAGCGATCCCTCTTGCTGTTCTGGCTTCTGAGATTCAGAATATATTTTTTCTTGTTTTCCTCCTCCAAAAACTAGATGCGTCTTGTGGTCTGGTGCGTCTTATAGAGCGAAAAATACAGTATTTATTTAAATTTTATGTGCCACCCAAGACTCCTATTTTTAAAAAATAAAAAATGTTGTTTTTTTAAAAAAAATGTTTTTACTGAATGCTCCCAGGTGTCCACTGCTGTGATACAGTGATGGCAAAATACTAGTGTCGATACTCCATGCTACTGAATCTACGTGGGCCTCTGGTACCTAGGTAGTTGCTACAGTTTTTCGGCCTTACACTTAGTCACAAGCTTCCAATGTAAAACGCCCTTCCCCAACCCCGTGCCCCATTTCCATAGAAAACACATTTTCCTTGATTCCCCTGTCTTTGTGCTTAGACCCTGCCTCCCTCCAGGTGCGTGGAAAGTTGTCGCCCCGGATTTCTCAAGCTGGTTCCGGAAGGGAAGCCACTCTGCTGCTATGACTGCATGTCCTGCGCAGAAGGGATCATCTCCACTCAGGAAGGTGGGTGGCACCAGTGTCTTGAGCAAGGGGACAAAGACTCATAAAATCATAGAGCTGGACCCAGATGACCATCTAGTCTAAGGTTGCCATATTCCCCAGAGCAAAAACTCAAACTATATATATGTATAGCTATACAGTGGGGTACATGATTTTTTTTAAAAGAAAAATATTTTTCTTAAACAATTTCAACATAACAATTTATCAATCCAAATATTCAATTACATTATTTTTTCCCTCCAACCCATCCCTCCCTCTCCCCCCCACCCAGGACTTCCCTCAGCTCCCCTATCTGGTTTCTTTGCACATATTGTTCTCTGCATATTATAAAATTGTACATATCCTTACCTTGTCTATCATATATTCAACTAATAAATTTGTGGATGTTTATTCAAAACCTGCCAAGTAGTCCAAGTCATATTGTTGTCTTTTAAAGTACAATGGTACCTCAGGTTACATACACTTCAGGTTACATACACTTCAGGTTACAGACTCCACTAACCCAGAAATATTACCTCAGGTTAAGAACTTTGCTTCAGGATAAGAACAGAAATCGTGCTCCGGCAGCCAGGCAGCAGCAGGAGGCCCCATTAGCTAAAGTGGTACCTCAGTTTAGAACAGTTTCACGTTAAGAACGGACCTCCGCAACGAATTAAGTACTTAACCTGAGGTACCACTGTAATTTGTAAAAACTTCCCATTCTTCCTTGAAGTCATGATTGTCCTTGTCATGCAGTTTATATGTCAACTTGGCCAATTGCGCATAGCTCATCAATTTTTCTTGCCACTGTTACAGTGGGCTACGTGATTGATAATACTCCTGTTTTTCTGCAGATGCAGAGCATTGCACCAGCTGCCCAGAAGATCAACATCCAAACAAGGCCAGAGATCAATGTGTCCACAAGATTATCACCTTCCTGGCTTATGAAGAACCTTTGGGGGTTGTCCTAGCTTCCTTTTCCCTCTTCTTATTCTTAACTACAGGCTTTGTGTTAGGAACCTTCATTAAGTACAAAAAAACTCCCTTAGTCAAAGCCAATAACAGAGACCTCTCTTATATCCTCCTTGTCTCCCTCCTGCTTTCCTTTTTGTCCTCCTTCCTCTTCATCGGGCAGCCCAGGAAAGCAACATGCCTTCTGCAACAAATGGCCTTCAGCACCATCTTCTCAGTTGCCGTCTCTTCTTTGTTGGCAAAAACCATCACTGTGGTTCTAGCCTTTCTGGCCACAAAGCCAGGGAACAGAGTGAAGAAATGGCTGGGGAAGAGTCTGGCCTACTCCATTATCATTTCCTGCTCCAGTGTCCAAGTTGTCATCTGCATCATCTGGCTGGGAATCTCTCCACCCTTCCCAGAGTCTGACATGCACTCCCAGCCCAGAGAGATCATCCTGCAATGCAATGAAGGGTCTGTTGCCATGTTTTATGCTGCCCTTGGCTACATGGGCTTCCTGGCCTCCATCTGCTTCACGGTGGCCTTTCTGGCCAGGAAGCTGCCTGGGGCCTTCAATGAAGCCAAGCTGATCACCTTCAGCATGCTGGTCTTCTGCAGTGTTTGGGTGTCCTTTGTGCCCACCTACCAGAGCACCAAAGGGAAATACATGGTAGCCGTGCAGGTCTTCTCTATCTTGGCCTCCAGTGCTGGGCTTCTGGGCTGCATCTTCATTCCTAAATGCTACATTATTGTACTGAGGCCAGATATGAATACAAAGGCATATTTAACCACAAAAACTAATTTGGAAACCTGATACTTCTGAAACCGTTTTCCAGAGGTGTCATTTATCAAGTTCAAGGCCAAAACTACTTTTTGTTTCAGATTATGTGGGAGGATTCTCATTCACATTTGGTTAGCCACTGTGAGAACAGGATGTCGTATGATGATGGGTCTTACGACTGATTTAGCAGGTTTCTCCTTATCACAGGAACCAACTGTGGTGAATCTATGTGCCATCTTCAACTCCTTGAATTATTCCATCAACGGTGCCTCCAAAAAATTGTACGTTATCACTTGGGAAGACACGCGAACTAATGCCAGTGTACTGGAAGAACAAAGATCACCAGTGTCAAAGCAATGATTCTTCAACACCAACTTTATTGGACTGGTCATGTTGTGCGGATGCCTGATGATCATCTTCCAAAGCAACTACAGTGGTACCTCAGGTTACATACGCTTCAGGTTACATACGCTTCAGGTTACAGACTCCACTAACCCAGAAATAGTGCTTCAGGTTAAGAACTTTGCTTCAGGATGAGAACAGAAATCGTGCTCCGGCGGCGCAGTGGCAGCAGGAGGCCCCATTAGCTAAAGTGGTGCTTCAGGTTAAGAACAGTTTCAGGTTAAGTACGGACCTCCAGAACGAATTAAGTACTTAACCTGAGGTACCATTGTACTCTACTTCCATTAAAAATGGAAAGTGTAATGCTGGTGGTCAATAAAAATGGTTCAAAGACTCTCTTTAGGCAAATCTTTAAAAATGTAGTATAAAGACCGACAACTGGGAAATACAGTGGTGCCCCGCAAGACGAATGCCTCGCAAGACGGAAAACCCGCTAGATGAAAGGGTTTTCCGTTTTGGAGGTGCTTCGCAAAACGAATTTCCTATGTGCTTGCTTCGCAAGATGAAAATGTCTTGCGAGTTCCTGCGGGGTTTTTTTCCTTTTCCCCCCTTTTCCCAAGCCGCTAAACCGCTTATCAGCTGATCGGCTAAGCCGCTTAACAGCGGATCGCTAAGCTGCTTATCAGCTGATCGTTAAGCCGCTTATCAGCTTATCGTTAAACCGCTTAACAGCGGATCGCTAAGCCGCTTATCAGCTGATCCGCTAAGCCCGCTAAGCCGCTAATACTGTAGCGCTAATCCGCTAAACCGCTAATGGGCTTACTTCGCAAGACGAAAAAACCCGCAAGATGAAGAGACTCGCGGAACGGATTCTTTTCGTCTTGCGAGGCACCACTGTACTGGCCTGCGAGCACTCAAATTGGGGAACAGCCTTTACCAAAGGTGTTGTGGGTTCTGAAAATGCTCAAACTCAGGACAAAAGGGAGAAATGTGCTAAGAGGAAGGCACACTTGGCAAACCCTCACCGTGATCAATTCCCGCCCAGAAACCTACGTCCCCACTGTGGAAGGATGTGTGGATTCCGAATTGGCCTCTACAGTCACTTATGGACTCATGGTTAAAACCATATTCATGGAAGGCAATCTTACTCAGCTACAAGTGATCGCCAAAGAATCACCTTCTCATCCAACTATAAATCCTAGAGACACTTAACCAACCCAGCCTTTTTTACTGTACATGCACCTTACCTGGACTTGTTTTTCACTCTAACAGTCATTTTTAGCTTCCTCCTAAACTGGTTCTTACCAGTTCTTTGGTCAGGCCTCACTCTTGTGTAGCGACTCTTGCCTCCGGTAATGTGTTTTACAGAATTTCTACTTCACCAACTGTAGCAGAGTTGACAGGTCTGCGGGCCTGTTTGAGACCCCCTGGTTTAAACTGTATATATTTATATATATAAAAGATACATCAATATACATCACTCGAGAAGCTTTTCCAAAACAACTTCAAAAGCTTTATAAAATCTTTTCCCCCCCCATTTGCAGCAAATGTAAACAATAAGAAACAATCCACAGCTCTGCTTGAAAAACCTGGAAGAAACCTTTATTTAGTTATGTAGTTTGCATAATGTTGACAAAAAGAAATATCTATCTAGAAAAAACTGCCCCCCAAAATTACTATCCTGTTTACATTTTAACTGACTGGTGGAGAAACAATGGAAGTTGCTCAATCCCCCCTCAATTTTGTCCACTGTCACTCGTATGGTTTTCCAGGACTTATAACTTGACCTCCAGACATCTAGACATTTATGCAACTTCTGTGTGTGAATATCTAATAAGATGGTAGCTGGATTTCTTCATGTGTAGAAAGTTTAATTTCTATGGTTTTCCCTATAGGTATACATCAAGCGCTCTTCCTACACTCCAAGCATTAATGCAACAATTTACTTATGCAGTTTTCCCACTGTGTGAATTCTCTGATGTGAAATAAGATTTGTGTTTTTGCTATAGCTCTTTCCACATTCAGAACACTTATATGGTTTCTCCCCCGTGTGGATTCTCTTGTGTGCCGTGAGGCTAGAGCTCTGACTGAAGCTTTTTGCACACACAAAGCATTTATAGGGCTTCTCCCCTGTGTGGATTCGCACGTGCTTAATAAGCGTCGAGTGATTGCAGAAGCTCTTGCTACAATCTGAGCATTTGAACGGTTTCTCCCCTGTGTGAATTCTCTGATGGGAGGTAAGGTTTGAATTCCAAGTGAAGCTCTTCCCACACTCTAGACATTTGTATGGTTTCTCCCCTGTGTGGATTCTCTGGTGCAGAGTAAGGTTGGTGTTCTTGCTAAAGTTTTTCCCACACTCCAAGCATTTATAGGGCTTCTCCCCTGTGTGAATTCTTTGGTGCGAGGTTAGGTGCCCACCCTGGCTAAAGCTCTTCCCGCACACAAAGCATTTGTACGGTTTCTCTCCTCTGTGAATTCTCTTATGCTTAATAAGATCTGACTGGCTAGAAAACCTCTTGCTACAGTCTGGGCAGCCATAGGGCTTCTCCCCTGTGTGGATTCTTTGATGTGAAGTAAGGTTGGTACTCCGTGTGAAGCACTTTCCACACACAAAGCATTTGTACGGTTTCTGCTCTTCACAGAGCATTTGAAATTCCGGAAGATTTCCGCCCTCAGTGAAGCTCTTCCCAAACACTAAAGTCTGTTCTGGTTTCTCTTCTGTGTGTATTCTCCAACAAATATCAAGGCCCTTGACCCTCCTGTTTTCTGCCTGTTCTTGTTGATCTGGGATGTCATAAAAGTTCCCATCCTGATAAGGAATTGATTGGTGTTTCTTTTTCCCTGTGTGGTTGCCTTCCTCCATCTGTGGTCCATCTTGATTCCAAAGGATCTCCTTCAACTGTTCATGCCCATCTCTTCCAGACAATATCCCAGGTAATTCCCATTTTTCCTCGTTCTCCCCCACATCATCTGCAAGAATAAAGAGAGAAACCCAGTAAGATATCAAGGGGGCGAAGAGGGAACAAAGCTCACTATTAGCTTGGGAAAGGCTTGGGACCTTCCACGAGGAACTACCACGACTCCCATCATCTGTGCAAAAGTCTGTGGGAGTCTTTTTGTCTGTGAACAAATATTACTGTATGCAACCTTGGGGGTGGCTTGGACAGTGGGAAGGAAGGATCCCCATTTCCCCCCATAGTAATAAATTGGTGGTGAACAGGGCATTTTGGGTAGTGGTGCCCTACATGGGAGGGCCTTCTCGGTAGCGGCACCCGCCCTGTAGAATCATAGAAACATAGAATCATAGAGTTGGAAGAGACCACAAGGGCCATCGAGTCCAACCCCCTGCCAAGCAGGAAACACCATCAGAGCACTCCTGACATATGGTTGTCAAGCCTCTGCTTAAAGACCTCCAAAGAAGGAGACTCCACCACACTCCTTGGCAGCAAATTCCACTGTCGAACAGCTCTTACTGTCAGGAAGCCCTGTGGAACACCCTCCCACCAGATGTCAAAGAGAAGAAAAACTACCAGACTTTTAGAAGACATCTGAAGGCAGCCCTCTTTAGGGAAGCTTTTAATGTTTAACAGACCACTGTATTTTAATACTCTGTTGGAAGCCGCCCAGAGTGGCTGGGGAGGCCCAGCCAGATGGATGGGGTATAAATAATAAATTCTATTCTATTTTGGTTTTTCGAATTAAAGTTTTACTATCACATATCCAACATACAACATAAAAACAAGATTCCATAGAATCTCCTGGACTTCCCTCCGCCCCTTTGCGGGTCCTATTGTTAGTCATTTCCTCCTGCATCTTTTATACTAATCCAAATCTTTACATCTGCAGTATATCCAAAATTTACCATTAAACTACAAGTATTATTCCAATCCTACTAACAATTTCAACTGTTTACAGTCGTACCTCAGCTCCCAAACGCCTTGGGAGTCGAATATTCCGGCTCCCGAACGATCGAAAACCGGAAGTGAGTGTTCCGGTTTTCGAACGTTCTTTCGGAAGCCGAACATCCAACAGGGCTTCTGTGGCTTCCGATTGGCTACAGGAGTTTCCTGCAGTCAATCAGAAGCCATGCTTTTGAAATCGAACTTTTCGGAAGTCAAATGGACTTCCAGAACGGATTCTGATCAACTTCCAAGGTACGACTGTACAGTAGTACCTCGGGTTACAGATGCTTCAGGTTACGGACGCTTCAGGTTACAGACTCTGCTAACCAGAAATAGTACCTCAGGTTAAGAACTTTGCTTCAGGATGAGAACAGAAATTGTGCGGCGGCAGCGCAGCAGCAGGGGGAGGAGGTACCTCAGGTTAAGAACAGTTTCAGGTTAAGAATGGACCTCCAGAACGAATTAAGTTCTTAACCTGAGTTACTACTGTACAGTGGTTTTTAAGATAAATTATAAGTTTTCCCCATTCTTTATTTAAATTTTGGTCTTCCTGATTTCTGATTCTTCTGGTCATTTTTGCCATTTCGGCGTAAATCCATCAACTCAAATCTGCCATTCTTCTCTGGTTGGGACTTTATCTTATTTCCATCACCCCCACACCCCTTTCTCAATGAATCATAAAGTTGGGGTGGTTGCTTCCCCTCCCCCCCCATTGTTTTCAATGTTTTGTTTGATTTTTATCATCTCCAGTTACCTGTTTATCACCCTGTGTGGTGTTATTTTTTTTAATCCATTTGCTCATTTGATAGTGACATTATTTATTTGTACGTTTCCGAGCACAATTCAAAGTGTTGGTGCTGACCTTTAAAGCCCTAAACAGCCTTGATCCTGTATACCTGAAGGAGCGTCTCCACCCCCATCGTTCAGCCCAGACACTGAGGTCCAGCGCCAAGGGCCTTTTGGTGGTTCCCTCCCTTGTGAGAAGTGAGGTTGCAGGGAACCAAAGATGGGCGGGGTATAAATTATTATCATCATCATCATCATTAATATGAGCAAATCATGGAGAATAAATCTATCGATTGCTACTGGCCCTGAAGGGGGCCACCAGGTGGCGTGTTGGAAGATGGCCGACAATAACATCTCTCTGACCCATACGAGGTAATTAAGGGGCTGCTATGGGAAGTATGCAGCCTTCCTACTCCCCCTGGATATGGGGGAACACTGCCCTGCCAGCGGTGTTCACAATGCACCCCCTGATCCGAGAGATGGGGGTGCTGAACACTTGGCACAAGCCCTCGATGAAGTCAGATCTTCCTGACGCCGATTCCAATTAGCGCATGCTGGTTGCTTCAGCTCGGAATTATAATTGGAAACATATGATTGGAAACGAAGCTGAAGCACATACATCAAGTAAGGCTCGACACATAAGACCACTGATTAATGGATCTCTGCGACCAGGAGTGACGGATGGATAAGTAAAGCTTCTGATGAATCACCACAAGGAGACTGTATGTTTGGAACGAAGGGGGGGTGGAGGAAAAAACTCTTTTTTTCTTTGCACAATGTGATATTAATAACCCTTCACCCCAGATAGAAACAAGATCATCGCATTTTTATTAATCATAAGCAGGATTCTAAGACTGTGTGGGATGGATTATAACAGGAGAGAAGACTGGTGAACGGTGAGAAAGAGGAAATTTTTTATGACGCAGTTAAAAAATGGCTTCTCGCCAAGACAGGCTTGCCGGAGAAAGAAGGACAGGGGGAGGAGAATCAGGATCGTTAGAATGAGAAGGAATGTTGGAATGCAAGTTTGTCCTGACAGAGCCCCCAGACTCATTTGATCTATTTGGTAAGCCTGAGAAAAATAAGGGACAGACCGGAGATTAGTTTTGTTTATGGAAGCGTTGAACAGAGGCTGTCCCTGACCGATATGATTTTTGGAAGAGTACAAAACCCACACAGAGATACCAGTTTTCAATCTGCTTGTGAAAATCATCAGAGATCGCAAAGAAAGGAATACACGATAACAACAAGAAGAGACAGGAAGTAACAAAGGACTATCCGGATCAAACTGGATAGAACTGACTAATTAAAGCAGGAAGATAAGTGATGCCTGTTTTGGACTCGTGCGGAGCTTGATGTATGGGTACCCTCAACAAAATTTAAAATTTGGCTGTATAATTTGGAATTAATGTGATATGGATAATGTGATGTGATTGGCCTGTTAATAAAAATTATTTAAAAAATAAAAATAAAAAAAAAGATTGCTACTGGCCCTGAAGGCTGCAATCTACGTCCACTGTCAGAATCAGTGTCCCCCCGAATGCTAGGTAAAGGTAACGGGACCCCTGACCATTTGGTCCAGTCGTGACCAACTCTGGGGTTGCGGCGCTCATCTCGCTTTATTGGCCGAGGGAGCCGGCGTACAGCTTCCGGGTCATGTGGCCAGCATGACTAAGCCGCTTCTGGTGAACCAGAGCAGCGCACGGAAACGCCGTTTACCTTCCTGCCGGAGCGATACCTATTTATCTACTTGCACTTTGACATGCTTTCGAACTGCTAGGTTGGCAGGAGCAGGGACCGAGCAACGGGAGCTCACCCCATCAGGGGGATTCAAACCTTCTGATCGGCAAGTCCTAGGCTCAGTGGTTTAACCCACAGCGCCACCCGCGTCCCCCCCGAATGCTAGTTGCTTGCAATTGCAAGTGGGGAGACTGTCGATGCTGCACTCAGGTCCTGGCTTGGGGGCTTCCCACTGCGGCCTCCAGTGGGCCACTCTAGGAAGAGGGAATCAGTGATGTTTCGTTTGCTTTTGCCACAAGCACTTCAAGGGTTCTGTATCTTACCGGCATCAATCTCTATTTGGATCGTGGGTTCACTAGAGACCTGGGGACCTTCCCCACAGGAAATGGATAGTTCTGCTTCCTGTGCTGGGCAGATTTCCTGACAGCACCTCGTTCTTTCCTGACTTGCTGAAGAACTATTGAGCTCGTGAGACGAGGAAAAACTCTCTTTCCATGCTGAAGTCCCACGTGGCGCCACCGTGTCAGAATTTTCGGGCAAATATTTCTCCTCCTCATCTGCGGTCATCCATCCTTTGCCTGCTGAAGACAAAAAGTGGGAATCCCAAACAATTCCATACCTGTATTAGAGGAAATGGGGGTACAAAAGACAACCAAGCTTCTTGGATCAGAGAAAAGAAAAAGGCAACATTATCAAGTGCATAATTAAGCATGATGTGGAGAAGGTGGACAGCGGAAAGCTTTTTTCCCCCTCTCATAACTCAAGAACTCAGGAATGTCGAATGAAACTGGATTTTGGAAGATTCAGAAGAGTGGTGAAGATGGTTAAACTCTTCTCCCTTGCAAAGTACATAAGACCTGAAGGAGGAAGTTGGAAGAGTGACGCTCTTTCCCACTTCCTCTTTCAGCTCTATGTGCTTTTAAAGCTGCAGAGTCGTTCTGTCAGAACGGACTTCGAAACATAATATTTTATAAATAAATAAATTGGCCGCTTTCTCTCCCGGGCAACTGATTTTCTGTGCATGCGTTTTCTCTTGGAGGAGAAAAGTGACCATGGCGCTCACTCAAAAATCTCAGGGTGCTCACACACCTAACAAAGAAGGAGCGAGTATAAATGATATTCTCTTTGCTTCTCTTTTTAAAATTGTTAGTTTTTTCAGATTTACAAGTAGTTCTCAGCTACCTCCTTTGGTAATCCTCACAGAACTCTAGCCCAATGGTTGCCATTAATTTGATTTTGAACTGATTTTAAAATGAATTGATTTTAGAATGCTGTGTTACTTTTATCGTTGTTAGCCGCTCTGAGCCCGGCTTCGGCTGGGGAGGGCGGGATATAAATAAAAAAATATATATTATTATTATTACAGTATATTGTCAAATGAAGAGTCCTTCTTATTCTTATACACTCCATAAAGCACACAACAATTACTTCTTTAAACAAACAACACAAAAGAAGCCACAGGTATGTAAAAGCTTGAGAGGCTATACATAGGGCTGCAAAGTAGGTGCTTAATCCAGATTCAGTCATCATAACTGAACTCAAAAACAGAATTCTAAAACCCTACCACATTAAGGGAAACTGATCGGAACATTAACATTGACGTCATGTTTAACCCAATATGTTCATAAGCAAGAGGGAGCTTTTGGCTGGCTTCTCTTCCCCTTCTGACTCGGACTGCTCCTCTGGACTGCGGGAAGCTATGTCCACGGCACGGTCTGATCTTGAGCCCAGCACAATGGCAGGCCATCCACCATGCTTACCCAATGGGCACGGATCCCCATCGTAGTGGCTGCCATCTTCCTGCTTGGTTTCCACGTTGGCCGCCCTCTGCACAGCATCAGGAGGAGTTTGGTCAACCTCAGATGAACCCTCTTCCTCCTCGTCCTCCTCAAACAATACCTGCAACAGCAGACAGGGACCTGTTCACCTTTTTCAGCCTAAGGACCACAGCAGCCTGACAAGGGTCACATGTTGTTAGCAGGCAAGGACAGAGGCAAAAGTGTCAGGAGTGAGGAGCTGTGGGTTAAACCACTGAGCCTAGGACTTGCCGATCAGAAGGTCGGCGGTTCGAATCCCCGCGACGGGGTGAGCTCCAGTTGCTCGGTCCCAGCTCCTGCCCACCTAGCAGTTTGAAAGCACGTCAAAGTGCAAGTAGATAAATAGGTACCACTCTGGCGGGAAGGTAAACGGCATTTCCGTAAGCTGCTCTGGCGGCTTTCAGGCCTGCTCTGAAAACTTGCTCTGTTTCCAGGTAGGCCTTTCACAATATGAATTTTCTCTTTTTTAAAGCAAGTAGCACAGGTGGTTGAAATCGCGCAAGTTAAATGCTAGCAAGGCAGAGCGCTCAAACCACAGTTTATTCCGGGAGTGAGGAACCTTCCAGACATTGCTGAACGACAACTCCCATCAGCACCAGGAAGCATGGTCAACGGTGATGAGAGTCATAGATTAACAACATCTGGAAAGCCAGAGGTTATATAATAATATAATAATCATAATTTATTATTTGTACCTCGCCCATCTGGCTATGCTTCCCCAGCCACTCTGGGTGGCTTCCAACAAAGATTAAAAATACATTTAAATGTCATACATTGAAAACTTCCCTGAACAGGGCTGCCTTCAGATGTCTTCTAAAAGTCTGGTAGTTGTTTATCTCTTTGACATCTGATGGGAGGGCGTTCCACAGGGCGAGCGCCACTACTGAGAAGTCCCTCTGCCGGTTCCCTGTAGCTTTGCTTCTCGCTGTGAGGGAACCGCCAGAAGGCCCTTGGAGCTGGACCTCAGTGTCCAGGCTGAACGATGCGGGTGGAGACGCTCCTTCAGATATACTAGGCTGATACCATTTAGGGCTTTAGAGGTCAACACCAACACTTTGAATTGTGCTCGGAAACGTACTGGGAGCCAATGCAGGTCTTTCAAGACCAGTATTATGTGGTCTTGGCGGCCGCCCCCAGTCACCAGTCTAGCTGCCACATTCTGGATTAGTTGTAGTTTCCGGGTCACCTTCAAAGGTAGCCCCACGGAGAGCGCATTGCAGTAGTCCAAGATAACTAGAGCATGTACCACTCTGGTGAGACAGGTAGGGTCTCAGCCTGCGTACCTGGTAGACAGCTGCCCTGGATACAGAATTGACCTGCACCTCCATGGACACCTGGTTTGGTGTAACCTGCCAACCACAGTTTTATGGCAGCTCTCACCTGGTTATCCAGTCTCTCGGCCTCTCGCTGCCTCAACAAGAACTCCTCGGCCAGGGCCACCGCCTGGGAGCAGGTTTCTGGGCTGTGCTCCCTCACCCAGCTCTGGATCTCTGGCGGGAGGACGGTCAGGAACTGCTCCAGGATCAGCAGCTCCAGGATCTGCTCCTTGGAGTGCCTCTCCACCTTCAGCCACTGGCGGCAGAGCTCTTGGAGCTGCCCGCAAACCCCTCGCGGCCCCTCGGCCTCCTGGTAGCGGAAGCAGCGGAAGTGCTGGCGCCACCTCTCCCTCGTGAGGGCATCCCATCGCAGGATGATGGCCTTCACTTTCCCATAATTCTCCTTGTCTCCGGCCTCCAGGCTGCTGAAGGCCAGCTCGGCTTCCCCGCTGAGGGCCGGCAGCAGACGGACCAGCCACTCGGCCTTGGGCCACCGGCAGGCTTCGGCCACTCGCTCGAAGGAGGCTAGGAAGGCCTGGGCGTCGTCCCAGGGGGTGGGCTCCTCCGGCAACTGGGGGACCCCCCATTCCGAGTGAGGGGACTCTACCGTCTTCAAAAACTCCTGCCACTGGGCTTCCCAGGACTGGGCCAAACCATCTTCCGGCTCCTCCTTCACCTGGTGCAGAGTCGCTCTGCGGCGCAATCCCCCACAATGCACTGCTTCAGGGGATTCGCTTTCTCCCTCAAAGCCCATCCTGGGTTTGCGGCTTACATTGTCCCAGAGGAAGCGAATGGATTTCCCGGGGCTTTCCCTTTGCGTACTGCCGTCGGGAACATCCCTTTCCATTTTCATCCCGGGACAAACTCCCGGAAAACTCCAGAATAAGCTACCGTGATCGAGGTGGGTGCGTTGAGCTTCTGTCTGGGGGAGAGAAAAAAATACGCAGGTGAGATAAACCTTTCCAAACTCCTTCCCTGGTGGCATCCCTTTCCCCAGGCAAAGGGCCTTCTCGGTAGTGGCACCCACCCTGTGGAACACCCTCCCACCAGATGTCAAGGAAATAAACAACTACCTGACTTTTAGAAGACATCTGCAGACAGCCCTGTTTAGAGATGCTTTTAATGTTTGATGTTTTATTGTGCTTTTAATTCTGTTGGGAGCCGCCCAGAGTGGCATTGGCCTGGGCGGAACCAACTGCCATGTACCTCCTTCCCTCTCCGGAACCTTCTACCTGGTTATTATGGAACCAGAATGTTTTAGGACCTAAATTTGCTCTCTTCCCCACCCCCTTCCTTCCACATTGCCAGGGATCGAACCTGTGACATTCTGCATACAAAAAAGATGCTTTTCCATTCATCCACGTTAAGATTTGAGCCTCACACAAATTCCCAGAGTTTCCCAGAAAGAGGAGCCGATTGCTAAACCGCTTTGGGAATTGTCAGTCAAGGGGAACATGGGACCTCTTAATTTCAACTTCTTCAACAAAGGTTCCCATGATTCTCTGGAGAAGCCACAATCGTGGAAAGTTGTATTAAAAGCGCTTTGAGTATAAGGTACACAGACATTTGCACACACTTCAAACCTTAAAAGTTTAAGAGAGCCTCGCCTTCTCCTGTTGACAGCTACCTCAAGCTTCTCTCTCTTAGGCTGCAGTTGCACGACATATACAGTGGTACCTCAGGTTACATACGCTTCAGGTTACAGACTCCGCTAACCCAGAAATATTACCTCGGGTTAAGAACTTTGCTTCAGGATGAGAACAGAAATTGTGGTCCGGCGGTGCGGCAGCAGCAGGAGGCCCCATTAGCTAAAGTGGTGCTTCAGGTTAAGAACAGTTTCAGGTTAAGAACGGACCTCTGGAACGAATGAAGTACTTAACCTGAGGTACCACTGTATTTTGCTTTCCTGACATTTCCCTGTTAATTTCTACATTACAGTTGGGCATTCATACAACATGAAAGCCACATCTGGGAATACAGTGCAAGCTTTACACTAATTTCTCAGTTACAGTGGAACCTCGGTTTTCAAACGTAATCCGTTCCGGAAGACCGTTCGACTTCCGAAACGTTTGGAAACCTAAAATCTAAGGGCTGTCTCCAATTTCAATGTGGGGGGGGGGGAGAGAAATGTGCCTTGGAAGCCATTCGAGTTCTGAAAAACATTTGAAAACCAAAACACTTACTTCCAGGTTTTCAGCGTTGGGGAGCTGAAATGTTCGGCGTGGGCGGGAGGTGGGGGAATCTGTTTGCAAATGATACAGAAATGAGCGCTAAACTTACATACCCTTCAACATTTCTCTGATGAAAATAGGGACATCCTCTTCCATAATAATAATAATAATGTCATTATTTATACCCCACCCATCTGCTGTCACTCTGGGCAGCTTCCAACATATATAAAAACATAATAAAACATTAAAAAAACCTTCCATATGAACCCAAACCAATGGCTTTGAGTTACAAGAAAGGAGATTCCAGCTGTTAACGGAGAAATCTGAGGGCTCCCTTGGACAAAAAACAAGGACACCAGCCAGGATTACCAGAGCAAAGCAGCAGCCAGTAGGCTTGGTCTTTATTGAAGACTGTCGCAGGACTCCCACCTGCCACAAGGTGGAACAAGATGGAAGCCCCGAACAAAAGAGAACCCAAACTTTTATTAGCTGCTAATTCCCATGTTACACCCCCCCCCAAACTACATCACTAATACATCATGAAAGGGGAGGTCTGGTGGCAGTAATCTGAGCATCCTGGACCCTGCCCCATGGTTCTCCTTGCCCTCCACCAAACACCCATCAAGTGTAACAAAAGAGATATTTACATTTCCCTGTTTCCCAGCCAAGTTAATCATACCCTTTTGTCTTCATCTGGATTTGTTATTTCTGGAATGGCTACCTGTCTGGCACTCAGGTATCAGGATCCAGGGATTATCACTCAGGCAGAGGGGCTGCTGAGTAGCTGAGCTCACATGTCTATATGAATTTCTGAAGTTTTCCCTGTGAGCCAGTACATAAGTACATTTATCAGTGAATTCTTACATTTGGTATCGTGCAGCAAAGGCGCTTTGAATAGATAGGAAGAAACTGTGATGAAGTGTTTTGTGGGGACAAATCACAAAAGTCACAAAAGTGATGGTGCTGATTTTGGTAGTGGGCTGCATGCGCATGATATCTGCTGGAGGGGCAACCCCCCCCCCAACCTATACATAAATTCCTGCAACATGGCTAAACATCAGGAAGAACTTTCTGACAGGAAGAGCTGTTCCACAGTGGAACGGTCTCCCTCAGAAGGTTGTGGCCTCTTCTTCCTCGGAGATTTTAAGCAGAGGTTGGATGGCTATCTGTCACGGATGCTTGAGTTGAGATTCCTGTATTGCAGGGGGTTGGACTAGATGACCACGGGAGTCCCTCCCAATTCTCTGATTCTGTGATCTGTATACCTGCTAAGCATCCTAGACATGGAAGTGTTCTCTCTTACACACACACACACACACACACACACAGAGGAGTACCAACTTTGTCCTGCAACCTTGGGTGCCCAGGGCCATGGGTGCCATGGGGCATGGCCCTGGCACCCAAATTTGTGGGTGCCCCCCCTTCAAAGGGAATTTTGTGGGAGGGTCCCACAGAGCTGGCACCTGTTCACACACACACATTTAAGAGGAAGTGCTCTCTGGAAGCCGGTTTGGGGAAATTGCATTAAATTGCATTCATTTGGCAATGACGTGCAATAATTTAGGGAAGCTTTTAATGTTTATTAGATTATTGTATTTTAATATTCTGTTTTTAATATTCGGTTGGAAGCCGCCCAGAGTGGCTGGGGAAACCCAGCCAGATGGGCGGGGTATAAATAAATTATTATTATTATTATTATTATTATTATTATTATTTAGAAAATCAATAAAAACAATTGGCCAAAAAAAGAGGAAGGAGGCGCTCGCTCTCACCTTCTGATCCGGCTTGGTGTTTGAAGGGATGCGCGTCCCCAATCTTCCCCGCTCCTGCGTCCGTTCAGACGTGCATCTCCCCCGTGACGCCACGTGCGCCCCAAGAACACCCGCCGGCCCCAAGAAAACTGCATGCATTCAAAGGAATCGCGGAAGGAGCTCAAAGGGGCAAAGGGGGATTCTGGGAGTTGTAGTCTTTCCTGTCGGAGCTGCAATTCCCGGAGAGCCTTTCCGATCTCTCCCAAAAAAGGGGGGGGGGCGTCACTTAAGGGCGCTGCTGCGTTGATTTTCTCATTTGATCCCCCGGCTGTTTGCATCCCTGCGCCGCTTCCCATTCAAACGAATCCCAAGATAGCTTGAAAAGCGCCAGCGGTATTGGTTAAGCTCATTTGGATTTTAGCCGGTTGTAAACCACCTTAGTGGTTTTTCTTTTTTTCTTTTTTTTAATGAATGATGGACAGTATAGAAACAGCGTTGTTAGATGGTCGCGGTGATGAGAAATCCTAGCTCGATCCTTATGCGGCAACACTGCAGCCACTCAGGGTTGAATCCGGTGCTCAGAATAAACGCAATGCGCATTCGTCTGTTCGACAGTGATGGACTCTCCTTCCTTGAAGGTTTTTAGGCAGAGGTTGGACGGCCACCTGTCGGGGATGCTTTAGTTCCTGCATTGCAGGGGGTTGGACTAGATGACCCTTGGGGGTCCCTCATGGTGGCACAAGAACCATCTCCCCTTCCAAAGTGGCTGAACAATCAACCCTTCTTCACAGAGAACTGGGAATTGTAGCTCTGGGAGGGAGAGTAGCAGCATCTCCCAACCTTTTTTTCGCCAAATCTCTAAAATCCGGATGCCCCGCCCCCCCCGTGACATATAACTCTTATTATTCAAAATAAATAATATTCCTTCCAGTAGCACCTTAGAGACCAACTAAATTTGTTATTGGTATGAGCTTCCGTGTGCATGCACACTTCTTCAGATACTTATTATTCAAAAAGTGAACTCCGGTTCACGTGGAGGAAGCCTAAAAGGCCATTAACTTGGTCTAACTTGTTCTTGAATTGTCCCCCTTAAAAATCAAATTGCCCCCCTGTGGGGGGAGTGCCCCACGTACCACGTCCTAGAAGGTCTCAGCACCCTTAACAAACTACATCTCCCAGAATACTTTAGGCAAAGCCATGTATGTTCAAAGCAGTATGATACAGACTCCTGCGAGACATGGTGGACTCTCCTTCCTTGGACGATTTGAAGCAGAGGTTGGAAGGCCATCTGTCATGTTTGATCATGTTTAGATTTCTGCACTGCAGAGGGTGTGGACTAGATGACCCTGTGGGGTCCCTTCTACCTCTACAACTTTCTGATTCTAGGACAAATGCTAAGACCCTCACGGACTGAAGGCGCTTAAAGACCATTCCACATTTGTGAGTCCTGGAAGACTTGGTCTCTGCTTATCTGTATGGCTTAGGTAAAGCTAAAGGGTAAAGGGACCCCTGACCATTAAGTCCAGTCGCAGACGACTCTGGGGTTGCGGCGCTCATCTCGCTTTATTGGCCGAGGGAGCAGGCGTACAACTTCCGGGTCATGTGGCCAGCATGACTAAGCCGCTTCTGGCGAACCAGAGCAGTGCACGGAAACACCGTTTACCTTCCTGCTGGAGCAGTACCTATTTATCTACTTGCACTTTGACGTGCTTTCGAACTGCTAGGTTGGCAGGAGCAGGGACCGAGCAACAGGAGCTCAGCCCATCACAGGGATTCGAACCGCCGACCTTCTGATTGGCAAGCCCTACGTCCCTGTCTGGCTGAGCTGCTGACAATTTTCAGTATGGATGCATATTTTCTGCCACTGGTATCTTAGTGTTTTGAATTAATCAGCAAAAGCTTGGCTTGCTATACTAGAAGGTTAGAGCAGCTGAAAAGTGAATCAGGCCACTGGCTTGTTCTCTAGCATCCTGTTCTCAGTAATTCTTCACACAGCACATGGTTAAACAATGCAACTCCCTGCCACTGGAGGCAGTGATGGTCACTAACTTGGATAGCTTTAAAAGAGGATTGAACAAATGCAAACAGGGGACACAGAAAGGGCTGAACTCCTCAATGCCTTCTTTGCCTCAGTCTTCTCCGATAAAGAAAACAATGCCCGACCTGAAGAATTTGGAGCAAATGATTCAGCAGAGAAAACACAGCCCAGAATAACTAAGGAGATAGTACAAGAATACTTGGCTAGTCTAGATGTATTCAAGTCTCTAGGGCCAGATGAACTGCATCCAAGAGTATTAAAAGAACTGGCAGATGTGATCTCAGAACCACAGGCAGTCATCTTTGAGAATTCCTGGAGAACAGGCGAAGTCCCGGCAGACTGGAGGAGGGCAAATGTTGTCCCTATTTTCAAAAAGGGGAAAAGAGAGGACCCAAATAATTACCGCCCAGTCAGTCTGACATCAATACCAGGGAAGATTCTGGAGCAGATCATTAAGCAAACAGTCTGTGAGCACCTAGAAAGGAATGCTGTGATCACCAATAGTCAGCATGGATTTCTGAAAAATAAGTCATGTCAGACTAACCTGATCTCGTTTTTGACAGAATTACAAGCCTGGTAGATGAAGGGAACGCAGTGGATGTAGCCTACCTTGATTTCAGCAAGGCATTTGACAAGGTGCCCCATGATATTCTTGTAAAGAAGCTGGTAAAATGCGGTCTTGACTATGCTACCACACTTCAAAACGACCTTGACAGATTAGAGAACTGGGCAAAAACAAACAAGATGAATTTTAACAGGGAGAAATGTAAAGTATTGCACTTGGGCAAAAAAAATGAGAGGCACAAATACAAGATGGGTGACACCTGGCTTGAGAGCAGTACATGTGAAAAGGATCTAGGAGTCTTGGTTGACCACAAACATGGCATGAGCCAACAGTGTGACGCGGCAGCTAAAAAGCCAATGCAATTCTGGGCCTGCATCAATAGGAGTATAGCATCTAGATCAAGGGAAGTAATAGCGCCACTGTATTCTGCTCTGGTCAGACCTCACCTGGAGTACTGTGTCCAGTTCTGGGCACCACAGTTCAAGAAGGACACTGACAAACTGGAACGTGTCCAGAGGAGGGCAACCAAAATGGTCAAAGGCCTGGAAACGATGCCTTATGAGGAACGGCTAAGAGAGCTGGGCATGTTTAGCCTGGAGAAGAGGAGGTTAAGGGGTGATATGATAGCCATGTTCAAATATATAAAAGGATGTCACATAGAGGAGGGAGAAAGGTTGTTTTCTGCTGCTCCAGAGAAGCGGACACGGAGCAATGGATCCAAACTACAAGAAAGAAGATTCCACCTAAACATTAGGAAGAACTTCCTGACAGTAAGAGCTGTTCGACAGTGGAATTTGCTGCCAAGGAGTGTGGTGGAGTCTCCTTCTTTGGAGGTCTTTAAGCAGAGGCTTGACAACCATATGTCAGGAGTGCTCTGATGGTGTTTCCTGCTTGGCAGGGGGTTGGACTCGATGGCCCTTGTGGTCTCTTCCAACTCTATGATTCTATGATTCTATGAAATCCACAGAGGAGAAGGCTGGCAATAGCTATGTTGTACTTCCTCTGTCGGAGGCAGTATACTTCTGAATACCATTAGCTGGGAACCACAAGAGGGGGAAAGTGTCCTCTTGTGGTCAGATCCTGCTTGTGGATTTCCCACAGGCACCTGGTCAGACACTGCAAGATAAGGAAGCTGGACTAGATGGGCTGGATCTAGCATGGCTCTTATGAAGTTCTTATATACAAAAGGTACACACACTGCCCCTTAAAAACATGGTAAGTGTTTGGGTATGGCTGAATTGCCTGAGAACTTTCCACACTGTATGATACCCCAACAAAACATAGAACCAACCAGTTAACAGCAACAGTTTAAAAACCATTTAATCACTTTTTTGCAAAAGAAATGTATTTATTGAAATGTTTATGGGGAAATGCATGCAGTTCACAGTATGTAATTCTTAGTTCTCTGCCCATATACGTTATTCTCTGCTGTTTTATCCTTTCTTTCCCTTTCCCTCCTCCCTGTCCCACAACCAATATCCACCTGAGTCTTTTTATGTGAAAATCTCTCGTGTGTGTGTGTGTGTGTGAGAGAGAGAGAGAGAGAGAGAGAGAGAGAGAGAGAGAGAGAGAGAGAGCTGTCAACGTTTCCCTTTTTTTAAGGAAAATTCCCTTATTCCGAATAGGATTCCTCGCAAGAAAAGGGAAACGTTGACAGCTATGGTGTGTGTGGGTGTGTTCTTGACTCTGGACACACCACCTATTTGTAAAACTGATGCGAGCTAATAGTCCAGGATAATGAGTTTAGGTTTCCTCAGTGGAAGCTTAAAGGCTCCAGACCCGTCTCTTGATTGCTGGGCCTCTCCCTCTGGCTTTTGGAATGGGACACCCTTCAGAGCAAGGAGAATAGGAGGGGAACCAAGAAACAGCTGTAAGCTGCTTTGAATCTGAATACAGTCATACCTTGGATCTCAAACGCCTTGGCTCCTGAACAAATCGGCTCCGAAACAATCGAAACCCAGAAGTAAGTGTCCCGGTTTTCAAAGGATTTTTGGAAAACTGGTTCTCTTAACTCTTTCTGTTCAGGTCATGCTGATTATAAATACAGGCCAGAAGGATCCTGGGTTTTACCTTCTATCTCTCTGTTCTAGTGTTCTGTTTCTGTATGCTCTGGTGTTAAGGTTTAGTCTTATTATAAGTTTGCAAGTTTTACTGTAAGCGCTGCAACTGGATTCCTATGGACTGTGCCAATCCTGAATGTGACCACTATGCTCATTTGCCTTCAGCAGCAAGTAAAGCTCTGCTGGATGAAGCACAATTGCCTCTGGTCTGTTTTTTGGAAACACCGTATCGTGTTTTAAGCTTTTTCCTTCCCAGAAGAGGCGACAAATTCTGCCCCCTTACCCACTACAGAGCGGTTCAAAAAAGGGAGTTTATTTTCGGCCCCAGACCCATTTAAAGGATGCCTGTTCCTAAGACAAAAACTGCAAAGCATCCCTCTGCCATGTTTCCTCATCTTCCAAACAGAAAGCCCCCGAAAGAAGAAGAAGAAGAAGAGTTTGGATTTGATATCCCACTTTATCACTACCCTAAAGGTAAAGGTAAAGGGACGCAAGACCATTAGGTCCAGTCATGGCCGACTCTGGGGTTGCGGCGCTCATCTCGCTTTATTGGCCGAGGGAGCCGGCGTACAGCTTCCGGGTCATGTGGCCAGCATGACTAAGCCGCTTCTGGCGAACCAGAGCAGTGCACTGAAATGCCATTTACCTTTCCGCCGGAGCGGTACCTATTTATCTATTTGCACTTTTATGTGCTTTCGAACTGCTAGGTTGGCAGAAGCAGGGAGCGAGCAACGGGAGCTCACCCCGTCGCGGGGATTTGAACCGCCGACCTTCTGATCGGCAAGCCCTAGGCTCTCAAAGCGGCTAACATTCTCCTTTCCCTTCCTCCCCCACAACAAACACTCTGTGAGGTGAGTGGGGCTGAGAGACTTCAGAGAAGTGTGACTAGCCCAAGGTCACCCAGCAGCTGCATGTGGAGGAGCGGGGACGCGAACCTGGTTCACCAGATTACAAGTCCACCGCTCTTAACCACTACACCACACTGGCTCTCACTGGCTTGCCACCCGTCCCGGGGGGAAAAACAGGAGGGTCAGGTGCTGGCCTTGTCTTCAGCGTGTACGCTCTGGTGCCTGGCAAGGTGCGCTTTGCGGATGAAGTCCCTCCCGCACGCGGCGCACTTGTAGGGCTTCACGCCGGCGTGGATCCTCTTGTGGTTGATGAGCCCCGATCCTGAGTGGAACCTACTGCCACACTGTGAGCACTTGTAGGGTTTCTCCCCCGTGTGGGTCCTCTCGTGGACGGTCAGCAGCGAGTTCCGGCTGAAGCACTTCCCGCAGGTGGAGCACTTGAAGGGCTTCTCCCCCGTGTGGCTCCTGCAGTGCACCAGCAGGTGGGAGCTCTGGCTGAAGGTCTTCCCGCAAAAGGAGCACTTGTAGGGCTTCTCGCCCGCGTGGCTCCGCTGGTGGTAGATGAGGCCCTGGCGCGAGTGGAAACTGCTCCCGCACTGGGTGCACTTGTATGGCTTCTCCACGTCGTGGGTCCTCTGGTGGAAGAGAAGGTGCGAGCTCTGGCCAAAGGTTTTCCCGCAGGTGGAGCACCTGTGGTAAGGCCTCTCCGGAGCGTTTTCACCCGAGTCCTGTCCAAAATCCTCCCCGCTCATCTTCTGCGTCTGGGGCGGCGGGCCTTCGACGAAGATTTTTCCATTTGCCGCAGGGGAAACGGACACCACCAATCTGTTCCGGACGTGGTTTCCCTGCGGGGTTTTGGGTCTGAGCTCCTTCGGGGAAGTTTGCCCCTGCTCAGGACCCCAGGGACTGCAATCAACGGACCTCCTTTGGGGTGCCCGATGCAACTCCACTGGCTTGGGCCTTGCCTGCAGATCGTTGTGCTCGTTCGTTTGCCTGTAATCTGTTGGAATCAAGAGAAAGAAGATTAGCCTGAGGGATCAAGCCAGCAAACCTGTCAAAGAGTGAGTCGGCAGTAAATCACACCACTCAAAGTTGGAGTTAACTGTTTGTTTGTGTTTTTTGACAAAGTAATAATCATAAATATGTAAGAATAACAATGTGCACCCCACCCCAAGACCATTCCACTGTAACTATCCAACCTCCCAAAATTTCAACTCCTCTTGCAACGGTTTGACCCCTTTCCGTTTTAACAGTACAAATTCTACAAACACCTTCCGTATCTCCTCGAAATCATTTCTCCTGCATATTCCCCTTCTTACCTTAATGGCACATGTTAATTTATCGTTAATAACTATATCCCACACCTCTTTATACCATTCTTCCATTTTGTATTCTGCTTGCCCCTTCCACTTCCTAGCTACAATAATTCGTGCAGCTGTCAAAAAAATTGTGAGCAAGTCCTTCACGGCCTGCGAACCTTCCACCCCCTCGTAAATTGATAATAATGCCACCTCTGGACTTTGGGTCAGCTTTAACCCAGTGATTTCTGTTACCTCTATTATTTCTGTTAACTTTATTAGTGCCATGTCTAATGAGCTCAGCAGCTCATCCCTGGTAGGTTCTTTAGATGTGATTCCTGTACTGCAGCAGGTTGGACTAGATGACCCCTTGAAATCCCTTCTGATGCTACAATTCTGTGATTTTGTGCTTACCCAGCAGGCTGTCACTACAGTCATTCTCCTCCTTTGCTTCTCTGCGTGGCTGTGTCTGGGCTGGAAGCACAGAGGTTCGCTCTGTTCCTAAGAAACCAACAGCACCCTCCTCACCTGGCAGAGGCTCCTGAAACAAAAAACATGAATCAATTTTAGCCTAATAATAATAATAATAATAATAATAATAATTTATTATTTGTACCCCACCCATTTGGCTGGGTTTCCCCCAGCCACTCTGGGCGGCTTCCAACAAAGATTAAAAATACATCAAAATGTCACACATTAAAAACTTTCCTGAACAGGGCTGCCTTCAGATGTTTTCTAAATGTCAGGTAGTTGTTTATCTCCTTGAAATCTTTTGGGAGGGCGTTCCACAGGGCGGGTGCCACTACTGAGAAAGCCCTCTTCCTGGTTCCCTGTAACCTCACTTCTTGCAGTGAGGGAGCCAACAGAAGGGCCTCAGCACTGGGCCGAGGCCTGCAAATTCCTGGCTGGACCTAACTCGCAATGCTTTAGTGAAAATAAGGACACAGGAACAGCCCGCTGGATCAGGCCAATGCCCATCAAGTCCAGCATCCTATTTGGGCTGGATGTTCATCAGTATGCAGATGATAGCCAGCTCTACCTCTCCTTTAAATCAGAACCAGTGAAGGCGATGAAAGTCCTCTGTGAGTGTCTGGAGGTGGTTGGAGGATGGACGGCGGCTAACAGATTGAGGTTGAATCCTGACAAGACAGGGGTACTGTTTTGGTAGGACAGGGGCCAGGCAGGTGTGGAGGACTCCCTGGTCCTGAATGGGGTAACTGTGCCCCTGAAGGACCAGGAGCACAGCCTAGGAGTCATTTTGGACTCACAGCTGTCCATGGAGGCGCAGGTCAATTCTGTGTCCAGGGCAGCTGTCTACCAGCTCTATCTGGTACGCAGGCTGACCCTCCCTGCCCGCAGACTGTCTCGCCAGAGTGGTGCACGTTCTGCTTATCTCCCGCTTGGACTATTGCAATGCGCTCTACATGAGGCTACCTTTGAAGGTCCCAGAAACTACAACTAATCCAGAATGCGACAGCAAGACTGGTGACTGGGAGCAGCCCCCGGGACCATATAAGACCGGTCCTGAAAGACCTACATTGGTTCCCAGTGCGTTTCCGGGCACAATCCAAAGTGTTGGTGCTGACCGTTAAAGCACTAAACAGCCTAGGCCCAGTATTTAGCGATTTAGCGCTTCTGTGCATGCGTGAGCGCGAAAACCCGGAAGTAACCCGTTCCAGGTTCGGCACGGTCCGTAACCCGAAAATGCACAACACGCAGTGTTCGCAACCCAAGGTATGACTATACCTGAAGGAGCATCTCCTCCCCCATCGTTCAGCCCGGACACTGAGGTCAAGCTCTGAGGGCCTTCTGGCGGTTCTGCGAGAAGTGAAGTTACAAGGAACCAGACAGAGGGCCTTCTCAGTAGTAGCACCTGCCTTGTGGAATGCCCTCCCATCAGATATCAAGGAAATAAAAAACTACCTGACTTTTAGAAGACATCTGAAGGCAGCCCTGTTTAGGGAACTTTTTAATATTTAGCGTTTTATTGTGCTTTTAATATTCTGTTGGGAGCCGCCCAGAGAGGCTGGGGAGACCTGGCCAGATGGGTGGGGTATAAGTAATAAATTATTATATTATTATTAATTGTTACCTCAGCCAGACAATAAACACTCAATGAGGGTCTGAAGCAGAGCTGGTTAGGGGTGTAGCCTGGGAAGTGTCCTGAGGGGAGCTGGGGGATGCATTTGGCCCACCGTGCCTGAGGTTCCTCCACCTAGATTAGACCTCCTCACCTTCTGCTGTTCCCATCTCTCTGTCTCCTTCTGCCTCTGTAGAAAATCCTCCGCCAGGGCCACCGCCTGGGAACAGCTGTCCGGGCCGCATTCCCTGACCCAGCTCTGGATCTCCGATGGTAGGATGGTCAGGAACTGCTCCAGGATTAGCAGCTCCAGGATCTGCTCCTTGGTGTGCCTCTCCACTTTCAGCCAGCGGTGGCAGAGCTCCTGGAGATGGCTGTAGGCCCCTCTCGGACCATCAGCCTCCTGGTAGCAGAAGCGCCGGAAGTGCTGGCGCTGCTTCTCCCTGCTGATGGCGTCCCCGCGCAAGATGGCCGCCTTCACTTTCCCATAATCCTCTCTGTCTCTGGCCTCCAAGTTGCCAAAAGCCCATTTGGCCTGTCCGCTGAGGGCCGGCAGGAGTCGAGCCACCCACTCCTCTTTGGGCCACTGGCAGGCTTTGGCCACTTGCTCAAAGGAGGCGAAGAAGGCCTTGGCGTCGTGCCAGGGGGTGGGATCCTCTGGCCACTGATGGACCCCCCACGCCGAGTGAGGAGACTCCACTTCCTTCAGGAACTGCTGCCACTGGGCTTCCCAGCACTGAAGGATCCCTTCCTTTGGCTCCTGTTTCACCTTTTGCTGCAAATGTGGCGTCCTTCTTGGGTATTCCTGGGTAACATGAGCATTTTCCCCAGATCCATCTGACCCTTCCACCAGTCTGAGGCCTAGCGGGTCTTCCATCTGCAGGCTGGTGGCAATTCCTCCGCAGGACACTGACAGTCTCCGAATATTTCCGTAGATGCCCAGGAAAGGGGATTTCTTCTTCAGAGGGTGGGGGAGAGGAAGAAAGGAACACAAATAAATATTTGTTTCAAGATCATCAGCAAACATTTTACGCCAGCTTATTTTCTTTCTTATTTATTTATTTATTTCATTTATATCCCATCTTTTTCCTCCAAAGAGATCAAGGTGGCACAGATGTTTTGCTTCTTCCTCATATAAGGTTAGGGAAGCGGGTAGCACTGTGGGTTAAACCACAGAACCTAGGACTTGCCGATCAGAAGGTCGGCGGTTCGAATCCCCGAGACGGGGTGAGCTCCCGTTGCTCGGTCCCTGATCCTGCCAACCTAGCAGTTCGAAAGCACATCAAAAGTGCAAGTAGATAAATAGGTACCGCTCCGACGGGAAGGTAAACGGCGTTTCCGTGCGCTGCTCTGGTTCGCCAGAAGCGGCTTAGTCATGCTGGCCACATGACCCGGAAGCTGTACACAGGCTCCCTCGGCCAATAAAGCAAGACGAGCGCCGCAACCCCAGAGTCGGCCACGACTGGACCTAATGGTCAGGGGTCCCTTTACCTTTACCTTTTACATATAAGGTTGGTTAGGCCAAGAAGCAGGCGACTGGCCCTCAAAGTCACATAGTGAGCTTCATGGCCGATCGGGGATTTGAACCCATGTCCCAGCTCCTGGCCTAGCACTCTAACACAAACGCCACACTGTGGCCACGGATTTATCCTCTCATTGAGAATGAGACCTGCGGGGTGAGGGTAACATAACCAAATGCCCCCCACCCGCCATGAGAGGATGGGGAGTCCCTGCATCACACACAGAGGCTCATAGCTTAGAAATCCACACACCTCAATAACAAAGCAAACACACATCTCACATCCGCAACCTCTACAAAAAAAGAAGAAATGCTATTGCTACTGCTATTCTGGTTTATAACCTGAAGATGGAAACTCGGGTCACTGAACGTGCCCCCAACACCATATGGTGGCGACGGGAATATCTGCATGCGCAGGGCTGCCATATTTCAAAAAGTGAAAATCCGGGCACAAAAGTTGTTGAGCTTTTTCCATTTTCTTGGACAATTCAGCAATTTTACGCCCGGAGGGCAGAATACCAGCTATGCCTGAGAAATTCAAGACATATGGCAGTCCAATGCATGCAGGAATATTGGAAGAGGCTCCCTACTGTCAGACCCGCCCAGCCAAGTACTGTGTACAATAATGGGCAAAGTCATTTCAGGCAGGGGACATTCCCAACCCTACCTGGGGGTGCCAAAGACATGGACAGACAGACAGACACAGGTAGGTAGGTAGGTAGGTAGATGATAGATAGATAGATAGATAGATAGACAGATAGATATCTGCATTGATATACTGCCCTCTCATAAAATAATCACTGCTGTGTACAGCAAGATTACAAACGTAGCAGGAGACTGAATCCAGGAACTTTTGCATGCAAAGCCCCCTTTTTGCTGCAAATCGCTCTGAGCTTATCCCCTTCACATCTTACCCTTCAGTGGACAACCGGGATGGAGAATGAGCCCGGGGTCTTATGCAAAGCAAATAATAGATCAGGGAGGAGGTGGAGGCTAGAACCCTGAGCTACTAGCTTTCTAGGTGCAAGGCATTGTCGACCACTAGGAAGCATTCCATCGTGCAAGACCCACGTCAGTCAGCAGGAGAGTCTCAGGAACGCCGCAGCCCTGCCTGGGCTTCCCCACCTGTCACCTGCTACACCTCCCTTTGCAGGTGCAATTCCTCCTCCCTCCCCACCCCCCTTTGATCTGGTCTCCTTCTCATCCCAGAATCGGGCTTCTCCTTCAGGAGCTCCAGCCCCAACAACAAAACGAAGAGATTGTGTAATGATAACCTCACCTAAAGGCATAGCCCCACACCAAAAAAAGAGAATCGGTTTCCGGGGGGAGGGGGAAAGAGGATGGAACAGGAAACGGGGCTTTCCAGTGTTTACATCCTGGGTTATGTTTTCACCACTTCCGTTTCCTCCTTTCTAGGAAGCTGGAGGGTCCTCCAAGGAACTCTCTCGTTTTAACTCCTCCATAGGCAGTGGGAAACTCCCCTTTTACACACAGGGACAGTGTTTCCTCTAGCGCCTTAATTGCACAGTATAGCTTTCATCATACGCTGAAGAAGCATCTTTTTATCCTGTACTCTGACACCTGAGATAAAAGGGTGTTCATTTCATTTTTTAAATTTTATTTTATTTTACCCACCCTTTTCTTTTAATTGCAAACCCTTTTTCACTTATAATTGTGTTTTCGCATTGCTCTGTTTCCTTCCTTTGTGGTGAAGCATGGGTAAGGGTTAGAATGTAACAATAACAATTTTAAAAGATAACGATACTTTTTGTTAGGACCAATAAAAAGGTTTTTTCTGAGTAGTGAGCAAGTTTTCATATTCCACAAATCCTCCCTTGATCGAAGAAAGCGGATGGATGGAGAAAGGTCCCCCCCCCCCTTAACGTGAGAACCTGTGGACATCAAAGGAAACTGAATGCTGGAAGATTCGGGACAGGCAAAAGGAAAAGTCTTCTTTCCAGGACAGCAGAGCAAAACTGATTATGGAACTCTCTGCCACAGGAGGCGAAAGAAAATGCTTCTTCACACAGTGAATAATTACATGAGACAAGTTCCCAAACATGGCTTTAAAAGATTGGTCTTGGAGGCTGAGGCTATCAATGGCTTCTAGCCATGGTCAAGAGGCCGTAATGCTTTTCAATTCTGGGAGCTGCAAGAGGGGAGAAAATGGTACTTTTCTCGGGTCCTACTTGCATGTTCCCCATGGGCACTGTTGTAAAATTTAAGTTGCACACAGAGGAAAATGCCTTGAGAGAAATGATACTTTATTTTAGCACACAGAACAATCCCAAAAAGCCACTTTGACTCTTCCAAAATGACCTCAAATATTCATATGCAGTTGGGGGAAGGAGATGGGGAGAGCTTCCCCATTGTCTTTTCACTTGCAAATCCCACTAAGTTTTTGTTAAGCTGTCAATAGGTTTGTAAGTAAAGAATTTAGAAACTAAAGTATTTACCATCTTGCCCTATATTAAGGTCTTATATATATAATAAATGTTCGTAATTGTACCAAGCAAACACGTACATAAATATGTGAACCATATGTCTGAAGCAGCACAGGAAAACAGCCCTGGATCCATTTTGGCTCCCAAACTGACCAAATGTTTATTCTGCAAGTCAAAGGAAAATGGAAAAGCCTCCCCATTGTCTTTTCCTTCACAAATCCTGTCCTGAGGGTATATCTGTGTATGAATGGGGTGAGCCTGTGGCCTGGCTCAGGAACTGGGTATTTGTCACTACAGAAGACTGGCCAGGTTCCCCAGGGTAAGCATTAACAGGTAACCTGCCAGACAGGAGATAAACAACGACAGGAGATAAACAACGCACTTAGATTTCTGCTGTAGACCGCCCTTTCTGTGATGGATGTATGATGTTTCTGGGGGTGGTCTTGGACTCCAGGGTGGGCAATTTAAAGTGTCTATATAAGGGCGGGCACACCTGGGTTCTGGGTCCTCCTCCTTTCCTGCGTGTGAGGGGAGCACCCTGTTGCAACAGTTCAATAAAGATCAGGCTTACAAGCTGCTTTGCTTCTCAGTATTCCCTGGTTGGCCTCTGTTCTTTTCACCGACCAATGGAGAACCTACAAAGGACTCTATAAGGGCTCTTGTGTCCCCCATAAGGGAATAAGGGCAGATTTTCGTTTATTACACTTCATTGACCGATCATGGATTTAGGGGACTCAATGAGTCCCTTGGGGTGTTGAGCAGAAAATGCCAAACCCCATTTTTTTACATCAGCACAGCCACTGTGAGAACAGTGTTCTTAAAAACAAGCTTTCTGAACAGGGCACAGTAGGAAAATGGGAAGATGCCTTAAACAGAGTCAGATCCATCTATCTCAGTATTGCTCAAGACATACTGCCGCCTGAGTTCCCCTCATTGTCTGCGAGTCCTGGAAAAGCTGCTCCCTGCCTTGCAGGTCTTTCCCCACCTGGTCGGGGAGGGCAGGCCCCGGACTGACTCCAGCTACAAAAGCGGAGGCTGCCAAACAGACTCTTGAACTGGGGTACTGTTTAGTGGGGTTTATATTGCGGGGAGCGTGTTGCTGTTAATTTTTTGTATCTCTTATTTTGCATATATACTCAAGCAAATGATCTGGAGTGCTCCCATATCTTCTTTCAGAGTGACTTAAATTGTGTTTTCCGCCAATGCACGTAACGGAGTTGGAAGGGACCCCAAGGTTCATCTAGTCCAGCCCCCTGCATAGCTGTCAACTTTTCCCTTTTCTTGCAAGGAATCCTATTTGGAATAAGAGAATTTCCCTTTTAAAAAGGGAAACTTTGACAGCTATGATCCCCTGCAATGCAGGAAACTTATCCCCAACATGCAGCTCAAACCCCTGATTCTGAGATTAAGTCTCGTGCTCTACCAACTGAGATATCCCAGCTGACAAGGCTTAGCTTTGGAGTGTACAGAACAAGTGTGAGGAGAATCAGAACTTACAGGGTTAAACAGTTCTGTGTGACGTCTCACATTCTGAGGCGTGGTTTGGTTCACATACGGGAATCTTTCTTTGTGTGTGAGTTTCCTTTCGTTTTTGGCTGAGAGGCGAGAAGGATGTCTGCTCTCTCGCCGGGACTGATTTATGATGTTTTTCTTCTTATTAAAGAGATTAGCAAGAAGCCTGCGTTCAGTCTGATTTATTATCCACACACAAGGCAACACTTTCTACCGCTGCAGAACTCTGCTAAGAGGTCAAGTTTTTTCCTATCGGCACAAGCATCCATCAGCACAGGGGAAGTGTGCTGGGCGCCATCTTATCTCAACAACAAGTCCTCCCTGGTGTCATTCCCATAATAAGCCATCTCCAGACTTACCCTAAGAGCCAGTCCTGAAGGTACAAGCTCTTTACTCTGTCCCCTCTGGTACCTGAGAGGCGTATTTGCAGGGCATACCCTGTTCCTGCGATTGTAGTCCAGTTTTGTTTTTTCTAAAAATTATTTATTAAATTTATATAGCATCCTTCATCAGAGGATCACAGGTTTACAGTATAAAAACACAAAAATACATAACATAATAACAAACAAAACAATAACACCCCCCCCGAAAGACACACACACACAGTTTCAAAGATAGGTTAATTAACCAAAGGCCTGGGAAAAGAGGAACGTTTGAATTTTTAATTGTTGTAACCCACACTTGGACCTGCTGGCAAAGGGTAGGTAATAAATTTAACCTACATTATTAAATTTCAATTAAATTTAATGATGATCATGATCATGATAATAATCCGCTGTGCCTTGGTTTTCAAATAGCTTAGTTCTCGAATGTTTTGGCACCCGAACACCACAAACCCAGAAGTGACTGTTCCGGTTTGCGGACTATCTTTGGAAGTCGAACATCCGACGGGGCTTCAGATTGGCTGCAGGAGCTTCCTGCAACCAATCGGAAGCCGCACTTTGGTTTCCGAACGTTTTGGAAGTCGAACGGGCTTCCGGAACAGATTCCGTTCGACTTCCAAGGTACAACTGTACAGTGGTACCTCTGGATGCGAACAGGATCCGTTCCAGAGCCCCATTCACATCCTGAGTAAAACGTAAGATGCGCCTGCGCATGCACAGGTCGCGTTTTGCCACTTCCGCGCGTGCGCGTGACGTCATTTTGAGCGTCTGCGCGTGTGGCGAAACCCGGAAGTAACGCGCTCCGTTACTTCTGGGTCGCCGCGGAGCGTAACTTGAAAATGCTCAACCTGAAGCACATCTAACCCAAGGTATGACTGTACTGAGTTAGACTTTTGGTCCATGTAGATCAGTATTGTCAGCACGGATCGGCAGCAGCTCTCTAACGGTTTCAGGCAGGGGATCTTTCAGGCAAGCTTGGAGCCCTCTGGGCGGTTATTAGACTTTGACTACCATCAGCCAAGGCAAGCAAGGCCAATGGTCAGGGATTATGGTATTTGTAGTCCAGCAACAGCTAGGCCTCACCCCTGGTCTAAAGCAACACTAAACCATTTCTTACTCCCCAAAGATTTTCCCCCCTTCCCCAGCTTTCTATTATTCTGTGATACCTCTGCAAAGATTTCCCAGAACTGCCGCTCTCAATGAAAGAAAACTGAGTGCACCAAACTCATTTGTTTCAATCCGTTTGATGATCAAACAAAAACTGCTTGAATCTCACACAGATTAAACAATCATTGGTAATAAAACAGTCTTCAAAGTTTTTTAAACGAAGGGAAGTGTGTCTTCCCTTAGAATTATTGTGGGGGTTCCCCACACTGGTGCAAAGTGAGAGATTTTCACAGCACAAACCCACACCTGCCAACTCTGAAAGTATGAGTCTCATGAGGTCACTCCCAAGCTCAGCGAGTCCGGATCGAACCTTCCCCAGAAGTCTCCAGCTTCCTGATCCCATTGACTGGAGGTGGCAAAGGCAGGACCTGAGACCTTCTGCATGCAAAGCAGTTGCCGTACCAAAATGAGCGACAGCTTCTCCCTAGAATGGTACAATACCTTTCTCGTGGGACGGGCTAACAAACCTGTTTTTTCCTTTCTGTCAGGGTCTACATTCCCTTGGGAGCCACATGCCAGCAGGGGAGAGGGTGGAGTCAGCGGTGGGTGGGGCCAAAGCCCAAAGTGGACAGGACCAGAGCCAAAAATGGGTGGGACACCTGTCTCTGTAGGTGTCTCTCTCTCAACCGCCTCTTTTACGCCCTTTCTCTCTCCCTCAGTTTCCCCTTTTCTCTCTGTGCCACCCCCTTCTCTCTCTCTCTCAACCACCCTCTTTTCTTTCATTCCCCCCACCTGCATGAAATCAGGTTAAAAACTGAATGAAATCAGAGAGAGCCACATGTGGTCATCCCTGCTGCAGGGGGGAAGCTTGGAACACAGTTATACGTTGGAAGTCGAACGGAATCTGTTCCGGAAGTCCATTCGACTTCCAAAAAGTCTGGAAACCAAAGTGGCTTCTAACTGACTGCAGGAAGCTCCTGCAGCCAATCAGAAGGCACGTCGGACATTCGGCTTCCAAAGAACGTTCACAAACCAGAACACTCACTTCCAGGTTTACAGCGTTCAGGAGCCCAAACCTTTATGTGTCAAGGCATTCAGTTTCCAAGGTACAGTCATACCTTGGGTTGAAGTAGCTTCAGGTTGAACATTCTCAGGTTGCGCTCCGCGCGTCACTTCCGGGTTTCCCTGCTCGCGCATGCGCAGATGCTCAAAATGATGTCACGCGCATGCGCGGAAGCGGCGAATCACGACCTGCGCATGCGCAGATGAGGGTTGTGTTCGCTTCAAGATGCGAACGGGGCTCCGGAACGGATCCCATTTGCATCCAGAGGTACCACTGTATGACTGTACACCTATCTGAGAGAGCTAGGTGTCTCTGAATAAATTGATTTTAAGTCCTATGGGGAGTGTTCTCTTATTTTCTTGCACATTAAGTTCCTATGGTGCTTTTCCTCTGTTCATTCCAGGGAGAGTTCCGATTAACCAGCAAACCCCTACAAGTAACCAAGGCAAGGTTTCTCCTCCGAGCGACGGCAACCAGTGGGAGACCCCCGCAACGACAAGCAGGCCAAACCAGTTTACACAGCTTCCTCTGCGTGGGTTTTTCTCGCGAGATACGAGTTCGAAACAAAGCTCTCCCCGCAGTCAAGAGCGCTCATGGGGCTTCTCCCCGACGTGGACTCTACTGTGCGCGAGGAGGAGCCGCTTGCGGCTGAAGCATTTCCCGCAGGCCGCGCATTTGTGGGGCTTCTCGCCCGTGTGGGTCCGCCGGTGCGAGGTGAGGCCCGCGCTCCAGCCAAAGGTCTTCCCGCACTCGAAGCAGCAGTACGGCTTCTCCCCCGTGTGGATCCTGCGGTGCGAGGAGAGCTCGGCGCTCCGGCGGAAGCTCTTCCCGCAGTCGGGGCACTTGTGCGGCTTGTCCCGCTGGTGGATCCTCGCGTGCTGGATGAGGTAGGAGACGCAGCTGAAGCGCTTGGCGCAGACGGAGCATTTGTGGAGCTTCTCCCCCGTGTGGCTCCTCTTGTGCTGCGCCAGCTGGGCGTTGCGCCCAAAGCTCTTCCCGCAGGCGAGGCACTGGAAGGGCTTCTCCTTGGTGTGGATCCTCTCGTGGAAGATCAGGTGAGACCTCTGGCGGAAAGTCTTGGGGCAGGAGGCGCACTCGTAGGGCCTCTCGCCCGTGTGGGTCCTCCTGTGAAGGATGAGGTTGGAGCTGCAGGCGAAGCGCTTCCCGCACGCGGCGCACTTGTAGGGCCGGTCGCCCGTGTGCATGCGCCGGTGGCGCAGGAGGTACGAGTTGCAGCTGAAGCTCTTGCCGCAGGCGGCGCAGGCGTACGGCTTCTCGCCCGTGTGGATCCTCTCGTGCACCACCAGGTAGGAGTTGCAGCTGAAGCTCTTGCCGCAGGCGGCGCAGCGGAAGGGCTTCTCCCCCGTGTGGATCCTCTCGTGGCGGATCAGGTGAGACTTATCCCGGAAGGTCTTGGGGCAGGAGGAGCACTGGTGGGGCTTCTTCTTCCCCTCGTGCATCTGCTGGTGCCGGGTCAGGTTGTCCTTGCGGCTGAGGCTCTTCCCGCACTCGCCGCACCGGTAGGGCGCTTTCTGAGCTGGGGCTCTTTTGTGCCCTGAGAGCGGGGGGTCGTTTCCTTGGCGCCCAGGAGGGAGCGGGTACCATTCCGCTTGCTCCAGACTCCCCAGGCAACCGTGCTTCCCTTCAAATGCTCTCGCCTGCCTGCCGTCTAACAGAACATGGAAAAAAGAAGGAAAGGAAAGAGGCATGTATGAGGACAGCGAGAACCAACCACCTAGAGTTCCCAGCAGCAGGTATTACGAGTATTTTTGCTTATTAATTTGAATGAAGCAAACATAACATGAGGTATGACTGTATTTTCTCACAAGCAGTGGGTAATATTCAATCGCATTTTACTCCGAGTAGACCCGCTGATGAATGAAGCTAAGTTAGGTCCGTTAATTTCTACTTTGAGTGAAACTTAAGTCAAGTAGTGACGCGGGTGGCGCTGTGGGTTAAACCACAGAGTCTAGGACTTGCCGATCAGAAGGTCGGCGGTTCGAATCCCCGCGACGGGGTGAGCTCCCGTTGCTCGGTCCCTGCTCCTGCCAACCTAGCAGTTCGAAAGCACGTCAAAGTGCAAGTAGATAAATAGGTACCGCTCTGGCGGGAAGGTAAACGGCGTTTCCGTGCGCTGCTCTGCTTCTCCAGAAGCGGCTTAGTCCTGCTGGCCACATGACCCAGAAGCTGTACGCCAGCTCCCTCGGCCAGTAAAGCGAGATGAGCGCCGCAACCCCAGAGTCGGCCATGACTGGACCTAACGGTCAGGGGTCCCTTTACCTTTACCTACGTCGAGTAACACCCATCGAATATGTGTCCCATTTCTTACCGTTGGAGATTCTTTGCTGGACCGTGACATCGCCAACTTCATTGACATCTCCTCTAAAAGCAATGGAACCACATGTGGTCTTCTCTGGGTCGATCTTCTGATGGCTCTCTCTCATGTGCCGATTCTCCTGCTTATTCCATGGGGAAATGCTCTGCTCTGCCCTCTCTGGAGACATTCCATGAAGCCCCAATTGCTCCAGACCGCCTGGGGTGTATTTTGCTTCTTCGCAAGCGTCAACACAGCCTTCAGCGGCTAGGGAAAAAGAGAGTCATCCCAATCACAAACGTACGGTCAGCCCTAGCGAAGGGCAGGGGCCGGGGCAATGAAACCAGATTTTGAAATGAGAACATCAGAAAAGAACCTTCATATGATAATCTTTATTGTCATTGTCCCATTCAGAACAAAATACCTCTGCATCCCTGTTCCATTTCTCCTGCTTGACAAGTCACGTACACAGCCAGGTGCCCGTTGCTGCATCATGCATCCTGGGCTGTGAAAGATAGCGGGCAGCTTCTTTGATGTAGCCTTTCTGATATGTTAATCTCAGGATGATGATCTTAGGGCCAGGAAACAGATCTCACATGAAGGTGATAATGATCGCTGTCTTCCTAGCCATCCATCTTATCATGTATATTGCTTATTTATCACCTCCGGGGTTGCCAAATGAACTCCTTTGTAGTTCTGTTTTGTTTACCCCAGAAATATGAGTGCTTAATTAGTTTTGGTAGTTTAACTTTGTCCCCACATGAGGTTTGTTGAAATGCTCAGAAGAAATCTGATTGGTTCTTACGAACACTTTATAAAAAGTTCTTTTGTGAATAAAACGACCTGGGCCAGGGGGTGGAGAGGCAGAGATTATTATATGCACCCTTCCCAGAGTCTTGCTGGTTCAAGCCTCTGTGTGTATTCTTATTAATCAGAGTTCAATCCTTCCTTTACTTTGGGAACGCCTCACCGGACTGAGCTCTGCTGGGATTTTCTTCCCTCCCGCCAGGAAGTCAGGCAGGTAACAATGCTCACCTAGGAGACCGGCCTCTCCGCTGCCACAGTCCTCCTGCTTGGCTGCCACGCTGAGCTGTTTCTGGTCGGCATCTGCAGGATCCTGGCTTGGCCCCGTGAAACTGACGGCCGCCTCTGCGAGGAGAGTCAGCACCTGGAAACAGGCGAGAGCAACAATTTAAAGCAGGGTGGACCAACTGTGTATTGTTTAGAAATACACAATCGCTTTGAGGTCCTCTCCCCTAGCATGGAAGACGAAGAGCAGACTCCATTTGAGGATCTCTCCCTCCCTCATTACAGTCGATCAGGTATATGAAGATGAGCAGCAAAGTCAGTCTTCAGGGAATGTACAGGCGACCTTGGAACGGACAGCTCACGGAAGAACCCCGACCAAACCTAAGAGGAGGCGTGTAGTGGTGATAGGGGATTCCCTACTGAGGGGAACAGAAGCAGTGATCTGTGGGCCTGACAAGATGTCTCGGGAAGTGTGCTGTCTCCCCGGGACTAAGATCCAAGATGTAACTGAACGACTGCAAGGAATCATAAAACCCACTGACAAATACCCCCTCCTCTTGGTTCATGTGGGAACCAATGACACTGCAAGCAATAGCCTCCAGAAGATCAAAAGAGACTACGAGGCTCTGGGCAGGAAATTGAAGCAATTAAATGCACAAATTGTCATCTCATCTGTCCTCCCAGTTGAACGACGTGGCCCAGGGAGAGAGGGAAAAATAGTGGAAGTGAACAGCTGGCTTCGCAAATGGTGTAAACAGGAACGGTTTGGATTCTTAGATCACGGACTGCAGTTTCTTGAAGATGGACTTCTGGCAAGCGATGGGCTGCACCTCACAACGGTTGGGAGAAATGTTTTTGCCAAAAATCTCAGAAACCTCATCAGGAGGGCTTTAAACTGACTAATGTGGGGGAGGGAGACAGTGCTCCTGAAGGTAGGAGTCTATCAATTGATGAAGATGATCATCCAAATGTCATAGACCAAATGGAGCAAACAGCACGCAGACCTAGTGGTGGGAGGAAAAAATCCTTAGATAAGAGTCACGGGGGAATGATTAATGGACTTCAGTGTCTGTACACTAATGCGCAAAGCATGGGAAATAAACAAGATGAGCTTGAGCTCTTGGTACAGCAAACTAAATATGACATAATAGGCATCACTGAAACCTGGTGGGATAAGTCCCACGATTGGAATGTAATAATGGAGGGATACAATCTATTTCAGAGAAACAGACCAGACAAGAAAGGAGGAGGAGTGGCGCTATATGTCAGGGATGTGTATACCTGTGAAGAGATCCAAGATTTAGAACCTCAAAGCCAAAGTGAGAGCATTAGGGTCAAAATTAAGGGAGAGAAGAATAACAGTGACCTCATTGTGGGAGTTTACTATAGATCCCCAAGCCAAATGGAGGACATAGATGCTGCCTTCCTGGAACAGATGGCCAAGCATGCAAAAGGAAGGGAGATAGTAGTAATGGGGGACTTCAATTACCCGGATATTTGTTGGATGTCAAACTCAGCCAAGAGCATAAGGTCAAACAGATTCCTCCCTGGCCTTGCAGACAACTTCACTGTACAGAAACTGGGAGAAGCAACAAGAGGAACAGCCATTTTAGATCTGGTCCTAACTAATGTTGATGACATGGTTAGTGGGGTAGAAGTGGAAGGATCATTAGGCATGAGTGATCATTCTCTTCTGAAGTTTACTATACAGCGGAAAGGAGCAGCCAAGCATACTAGGACTCAATTTCTTGACTTTAAGAAAGCCGACTTCAAACAGGGGACACAGAAAGGGCTGAACTCCTCAATGCCTTCTTTGCCTCAGTCTTCTCCGATAAAGAAAACAATGCCCGACCTGAAGAATTTGGAGCAAATGATTCAGCAGAGGAAAAACAGCCCAGAATAACTAAGGAGATAGTACAAGAATACTTGGCTAGTTTAGACGTATTCAAGTCTCCAGGGCCAGATGAACTGCATCCAAGAGTATTAAAAGAACTGGCAGAGGTGATCTCAGAACCACTGGCAGTCATCTTTGAGAATTCCTGGAGAACAGGCGAAGTCCCGGCAGACTGGAGGAGGGCAAATGTTGTCCCTATTTTCAAAAGGGGAAAAGAGAGGACCCAAATAATTACCGCCCAGTCAGTCTGACATCAATACCAGGGAAGATTCTGGAGCAGATCATTAAGCAAACAGTCTGTGAGACCTAGAAAGGAATGCTGTGATCACCAATAGTCAGCATGGATTTCTGAAAAATAAGTCATGTCAGACTAACCTGATCTCTTTTTTTGACAGAATTACAAGCCTGGTAGATGAAGGGAACGCAGTGGATGTAGCCTACCTTGATTTCAGCAAGGCATTTGACAAGGTGCCCCATGATATTCTTGTAAAGAAGCTGGTAAAATGCGGTCTTGACTATGCTACCACTCAGTGGATTTGTAACTGGCTAACTGACCGAACCGAAAGGGTGCTTATCAATGGTTCCTCTTCATCCTGGAGAAGAGTGACTAGTGGGGTGCCACAGGGTTCTGTCTTGGGCCCGGTCTTATTCAACATCTTTATCAACGACTTGGATGATGGACTCAAGGGCATCCTGATCAAATTTGCAGATGACACCAAACTGGGAGGGGTGGCTAACACCCCAGAGGACAGGATCACACTTCAAAACGACCTTGACAGATTAGAGAACTGGGCAAAAACAAACAAGATGAATTTTAACAGGAAGAAAGGTAAAGTATTGCACTTGGGCAAAAAAAATGAGAGGCACAAATACAAGATGGGTGACATCTGGCTTGAGAGCAGTACATGTGAAAAGGATCTAGGAGTCTTGGTTGACCACAAACTTGACATGAGCCAACAGTGTGACGCGGCAGCTAAAAAGCCAATGCAATTCTGGGCTGCATCAATAGGAGTATAGCATCTAGATCAAGGGAAGTAATAGTGCCACTGTATTCTGCTCTGGTCAGACCTCACCTGGAGTACTGTGTCCAGTTCTGGGCACCACAGTTCAAGAAGGACACTGACAAACTGGAACGTGTCCAGAGGAGGGCAACCAAAATGGTCAAAGGCCTGGAAACGATGCCTTATGAGGAACGGCTAAGGGAGCTGGGCATGTTTAGCCTGGAGAAGAGGAGGTTAAGGGGTGATATGATAGCCATGTTCAAATATATAAAAGGATGTCACATAGAGGAGGGAGAAAGCTTGTTTTCTGCTGCTCCAGAGAAGCGGACACGGAGCAATGGATCCAAACTACAAGAAAGAAGATTCCACCTAAACATTAGGAAGAACTTCCTGACAGTAAGAGCTGTTCGACAGTGGAATTTGCTGCCAAGGAGTGTGGTGGAGTCTCCTCCTTTGGAGGTCTTTAAGCAGAGGCTTGACAACCATATGTCAGGAGTGCTCTGATGGTGTTTCCTGCTTGGCAGGGGGTTGGACTCGATGGCCCTTGTGGTCTCTTCCAACTCTATGATTCTATGATTCTATGATTCTATGATTCTAATACTTTGTTGGAAGCCGCCCAGGGTGGCTGGGGAGACCCAGCCAGATGGGCGGGGTATAAATAATAAATTATTATTATTATTATTATTATTATTATTATTATTATTATTATTATTATATTTTACTCCTCACCTGCTTCTCCATCCTTTCGGCATCCTTCTGAAGGAAGTCCTCAGCCAGGGCCACCGCCTGGGCGCACGTCTCCGGCCCCCACTGCCTGACCCAGCTCTGGACATCGGCCGGAAGGATGGCCAGGAGCTGCTCCAGGACCAACAGCTCCAGGATCTGCTCCTTGGAGTGCCTCTCGATCTTCAGCCACGCCTGGCAAAGGTCCTGGAGCTGCCTGTGAGCCCCCCTCGGTCCTTTGGCCTGCTGGTAGCAGAAGCCCCTGAACCGCTGCCGCTGCTTCTCCTGTCTCAGGGCATCCCAGCGCAAGATCGCCGCCTTCACTTTCCCATAATCCTCTCTGTCTCGGGCTTTGAGTGCAAGGAAAGCCTGCTTGGCTCCACCGCCGAGGGCCGGCAGGAGCCGGGCTGCCCACTCCTCCCGGGGCCACCAGCAGGCTTCGGCCACTTGCTCAAAGGTGGCCAGGAAGGCCTTGGGGTCGCCCCATGGCTTGGGCTCCTCCGGCAACGGGCCAGTGGGGCTGAGGGGCTGAGGGGCCTCCACCATCTTCAGGAACTCCTGCCACTGGGCTTCCCAGTGCTGAAGCAAACCCTCGCAGGGCTCTTGTTTAACTAAGGTTGCGTCTGGTGTTTTTTGGACGACTTCACCGACGGTCTCACGGGGGTCCTTGCCGCTGCCGTCCAGCGCCTCCCCTTGCAGACAGCTTCCTGGGTCCATTTTCATGCCGGTTCCACCTCGGCTGGCAGCCCGAGGGACTCAGAGTAACCCAGAGAGTCGTGGCGGTTGATGCTGCCACATTCTAGGGGTAGCTCCCTGGGTATAGCAAAGAAAGATCACAGAATCGTAAAAAAGGCAAGAATCTTTTGCCTGATGTGGGGCTCAAACCCACAACCCTGAGATTAAGAGCTTCCTGGTCTGCTCCAGGTCTATTCAATTAAATGGATTTAGAAACCATTTAACATTTCAAAAGTCCCTTAAGTGGTGTGTACCACGTACGATTAAATGAACAGGGTCTCTATTACAACAAAATTAGAACCTAAAAGCCAAAAATCCAGCAGAATTTAGAGCAAACCCATCAAAATAAATGGGCCCAAGTTACTCATGGCCAGTGCTTTTTTCCTAAAAAAATGTTTAGGGGTACTCTCATTTTGACTCCATTTTATAGCTCAAATTGGGGGAAATAAATACAGTAAATGGACAAAAGTACAAAGATTCACAAAATGTTTAGCGGTATGTGTAACCCTTGTGTACCCCCAGGAAAAAAAACACTGCTCATGGCCATAATTCCTGATAGATCGACTGACATTTATTTTATGCATTGTACAAAATCCTATCTTTTTTCGTTGCTGCATCATGAAGTGCCAAGGCACTGTTAAAACATAAAACACTGTTTTTTAAAAAAAAGTAAAGTGACCAGCTAATTCAGAATACAGTGGTACCTCTGGATACGAACCACCCACTTTGCGAATGCTTCGGGCTACGCACGTGGCAAACCCGGAAGTAAAGGAAAGGTTTCCACCACCCACGTCTGCGCAGATCAGCGCACCTCTGGATACGAATGTTTCAGGGTAACTAAGTTCGTATCCAGAGGTACCACTGTAGAAGTCAAACAGCTACAAAGGCCTGTTAGCATTAAAAAAAAATGTCTTCAGGAAAAGTCAGGAAGTCAAAAGTGAGGATGTTTGCCAGACCCCTGCCCCTGTACAGTGGTACCTCGCAAGACGAATGCCTCGCAAGACAAAAAACTCGCTAGACGAAAGGTTTTTTTGTTTTTTGAGCTGCTTCGCAAGACGATTTTCGCTATGGGCTTGCTTCGCAAGACGGAAACGTCTTGCAAGTTTGTTTCCTTTTTCTTAACACCGTTAATACAGTTGTGACTTGACTTCGAGGAGCAACTCATAGAACGCGGTGTGGTAGCCTTTTTTGAGGTTTTTAAAGACTTTGGTGATTTTTGAAGCTTTTCCAAAACTTTCCCGACACCGTGCTTCGCAAGACGAAAAAAATTGCAAGACGACAAAACTCGCGGAACGAATTAATTTCGTCTTGCGAGGCACCACTGTACACATATATATCAGGATCATGGACCACTTATAAACACCATCTCCAACTCCTCGAAAGATTCCAGCAACAGTGTCTCCGAAAAATTTTACACATCACTTGGGAAGACAGACGAACTAATCCCAGTGTACTGGAAGAAGCAAAGATCACCAGTGTTGAAGCAATGATTCTTCAACATCAACTTCGCTGGACTGGTCATGTTGTGCGGATGCCTGATGATCGTCTTCCAAAGCAACTACAGTGGAACCTCTGGTTACGTACTTAATTCGTTCCGGAGGTCCGTTCTTAACCTGAAACTGTTCTTAACCTGAAGCACTACTTTAGCTAATGGGGCCTCCTGTTGCCACTGCACCGCCACAGCACGATTTCTGTTCTCATCCTGAAGCAAAGTTCTTAACCCGAGGTACTATTTCTGGGTTAGCAGAGTCTGTAACCTGAAGCGTATGTAACCTGAAGCGTATTTAACCCGAGGTACCACTGTACTCTATTCCAAACTTAAAAATGGAAAGCATAATGCTGGTGGTCAACAAAGGAGGTTCAAAGACTGTCTCAAGGCAAATCTTAAAAAATGTAGTATACACACTGACAACTGGGAAACACTGGCCTGCGAGTGCTCCAGTTGGAGAACAGCCTTTACCAAAGGTGTCATGGGCTTTGAAGACACTCGAACTCAGGATGCAAGGGAGAAGCGTGCTAAGAGGAAGGCATGTTTGGCAAATCCACACCGTGATCATCTCCCACCCGGAAACCAATGTCCCCACTGTGGAAGGACGTGTGCATCCAGAATTGGCCTCCACAGTCACTTACAGACTCACTGTTAAAACTGTGTTTATAGAAGACAATCTTACTCGGTTACGAGTGATCGCCGAAGAAGATATATCCCCACAAAGTATCCTGGGAACTATGATTTGTTAACGGTGCTCAGAGTTTTAGGGCATCCCCTATTCTCTCCTTGTTGTGCTACAGTTCCCAGAGTCGAAAGGGGCCCTGGGGGTCGTGCAGTAATTATAATTGCAGGGTTTGTTGCCTCCAAAATAAGGAGCCAGGGCACAGGGCAGAAGAGGCTCTGCTAACATCACGGCAAAGGCCCCAAAGATGCTGGCTAGTGATCCCTCCATGCCGCTTAATTGCCCAAACCTGTAAAACAACCTAAACAACATGTCACTAGATAAGGCAGGAGGCTGTTCTGTGCATTGTGTTGCTTCTTCCCTTTCAAGCTGCCGCAGTTTGCGAAGTCAACACAAATCAATTCTTCGCCTTCTCCTTGACAACTCATCATTTGAGGCCAGGACAATATGGATGATTATCATACATAACAACAGCAACAACAATAACAAAGCACCTTTTCAAGCAATAATAATAATAATAATACAACAACAACAAAGCACCTTTTCCAGCAGTAATACAGCTGCATGGCTGTCTTCATAAGAATAAGTATGATTTGGATACAATGGAGGACTGTAAATTGGATTGACCTAAAATATGCAGCTAAAAAGGTTACTTAAAGAACCCATGAGGGTGGGGGGAGTCCTAAGATTCGGAAGAATCTTGTGTAAAATTCTAATATGTGCAAGAATATTATTGGTGTGAACGAATTTGTAAAATCAAATAATACGCAGGAATAAACATGATTGTACAGCAGCACAGCCGTCAAATAAAACAACGGTAATACGGCATCAACATGACAATATCGCAGCATTGCCTATTCCAACCTTTTCACGTGAATTCTTCTAATAACAATAATAATATGGCAGCAGAGTCGTCTGGCGCACCTTTTCAGCGGCGGTTTGCTGTGCAGAAATCTGCAAAGGAGCCTTTTCCCCAGCCCACCACTCTCCTCCCCAAACAGGAACATGCGACCCTCCCCTAGATGCTGGGAGAGGGGAGGGAGGAACCCCCTGATTGTCTCTTTCGCTAATTAGCGCCCCCCCCCGCACGCAGTCCCCCTCCCCCGAGCCCCGTTTCCTCCCCGGGAATCTCCGTGCACCAAACCAGGCGCGCAACGCGTGTGCGCACACACACACACACACATACACACACACCACTTTTCCGGGCGCGGGAGGGGGAGAGGGGCTGCTGCGTTGAAAAGCATCCCGTGTTGCAGCGTCCTTGCTAGGAATCGCAGCCTCTTTCTGCTTTAACTCTTTCTGCATCTCTCTCTCCCTCTCACCCCTATGTACAGGTAGGTAGTCGTGTTGGTCTGCGGTAGTCGAAACAAACAAACAAAAAATTCCTTCCAGTAGCACCTTGTTGTTGTTGTTGTTTAGTCGTGTCCGACTCTTCGTGACCCCCTGGACCAGAGCAGGCCAGGCACTCCTGTCTTCCACTGCCTCCCGCAGTTTGGTCAAACTCATGCTGGTAGCTTTGAGAACACTGTCCAACCATCTCGTCCTCTGTCGTCCTCTTCTCCTTGTGCCCTCTGTCTTTCCCAACATCAGGGTCTTTTCCAGGGAGTCTTCTCTTCTCATGAGGTGGCCAAAATATTGGAGCCTCAGCTTCAGGATCTGTCCTTCCAGTGAGCACTCAGGGCAGATTTCCTTCAGAATGGAGAGGTTTGATCTTCTTGCAGTCCATGGGACTCTCAAGAGTCTCCTCCAGCACCAGAATTCAAAAGCATCAATTCTTCGGAGATCAGCCTTCTGGATGGTCCAGCTCTCACTTCCATACATCACTACTGGGAAAATCATAGCTTTAACTATACGGACCTTTGTTGGCAAGGTGATATCTCTGCTTTTTAAGATGCTGTCTAGGTTTGTCATTGCTTTTCTCCCAAGAAGCAGGCGTCTTTTAATTTCGTGACTGCTGTCACCACCCCTTTTATTTGCCAGGAGGTGATGGGCCCAGTGGCCATGATCTTCGTTTTTTTGATGTTGAGCTTCAGACCATATTTTGCGCTCTCCTCTTTCACCCTCATTAAAAGTTTCTTTAATTCCTCCTCACGTTCTGCCATCAAGGTTGTATCATCTGCATATCTGAGGTTGTTGATATTTCTTCCAGCAATCTTAATTCCAGCTTGTGATTCATCCAGCCCAGCCTTTCACATGATGAATTCTGCAATAAGCAGTGAGACATATCCAGTTCTAACTGTAGCTTCTTGTCCCACATAGAGATTTCTCAGGAGACAGATGAGGTGATCAGGCACTCCCATTTCTTTAAGCACTTGCCATAGTTTGCTGTGGTTGACACAGTCAAAGGCTTTTGCATAGTCAATGAAGCAGAAGTAGATGTCTTTCTGTAACTCTCTAGCTTTCTCCATAATCCAGTGCATGTTTGCAATAGCACCTTAGAGACCAACTAAGTTTGTTCTTGGCATGTGCTTTCATGTGCATGCACACTTCTTCAGATACACTGAAACAGAAGTCACCAGACCCTTATATATAGTGAGAGGGTGGGGAGGGGTATTACTCAGAAGGGTGGTGGGAATGGGTGATTGGCCAATAGGTGTGGTAAACCTGTTGAGGACTGTTAACGACTGCAATTGGTCTTACAGGAAAAAGCAAGGGGTGAGATGGCTAAAAGGTCTCTCCAGTCTGAGACAGACTCTCTTTCCAGTCTATCAGGAATCACAAGACAAGAGAAACCAGTAGGAGGACACTTCAATTTCCCAGGACATTCTATACAAGATCTCAAAGCAGCTGTCTTCTTACAAAAGAATTTCAGAAATAGACTGGAAAGAGAAGTTGCTGAATTGCAACTTATTACCAAACTTAATGGGATGCGGGTGGCGCTGTGGTCTAAACCACAGAGCCTAGGGCTTGTCAATCAGAAGGTCGGCAGTTCAAATCCCTGCGATGGGGTGAGCTCCCCTTGCTTGGTCCCAGCTCCTGCCCACCTAGCAGTTCAGAAGCACGTCAAGTGCAAGTAGATAAATAGGTACCGCTCCAGTGGGAAGGTAAACGGCATTTCCGTGCGCTGCTCTGGTTCGCCAGAAGCGGCTTAGTAGTGCTGGCCACATGACCCAGGAGCTGTCTGTGGACAAACACCGGCTCCCTCGGCCAGTAAAGCGAGATGAGCACCGCAACCCCAGAGTCGTCCACGACTGGACCTAATGGTCAGGGGTACCTTTACTACCAAACTTAAACCCATGGAGAGACCTGGTCTGAATAGAGACATTGGATTCTTATCTCATTAAGCATGACGACGCTATTTTTAGCCATCTCACCCCTTGCTTTTTCCTGTAAGACCAATTGCAGTCATTAACAGTCAACAGGTTTACCCCTGCCAATCACCCATTCCCACCACCCTATTGAGTAATACCCCTCCCCACCCTCTCACTATATATAAGGGTCTGGTGACTTCTGTTTCAGTGTATCTGAAGAAGTGTGCATGCACACGAAAGCTCATACCAATAATAAACCTAGTTGGTCTCTAAGGTGCTACTGGAAGGAATTTTTTGTTTGTTTCGACCCCTATTTATGGCATTCATAGCCTCAAGGGTATTTTTTGTTTTTTAATATTTGTTTCATTTTTCATGACACTGCTATCTTTTAGAACTCAGTCGGGAAAGCATGAAGCTCTTCATCTCAGGGTTGTGGGTTCGAGTTCCACCTTGGGCGAAACAATTCCTGCATTGCAGGGGGTCGGACTAGATGACCCTCGTGGTCCCTTCCAACTCTACCATTCTATTCCATTTTTAATTATAGAATCATAGAGTTGGAAGAGACCACAAGGGCCATCAAGTCCAACCCCCTGCCAAGCAGGAAACACCATCAGAGCACTCCTGACATATGGTTGTCAAGCCTCTGCTTAAAGACCTCCAAAGAAGGAGACTCCACCACACTCCTTGGCAGCAAATTCCACTGTCGAACAGCTCTTACTGTCAGGAAGTTCTTCCTAATGTTTAGGTGGAATCTTCTTTCTTGTAGTTTGGATCCATTGCTCCATGTCCACTTCTCTGGAGCAGCAGAAAACAACCTTTCTCCCTCCTCTATGTGACATCCTTTTATATATTTGAACATGGCTATCATATCACCCCTTAACCTCCTCTTCTCCAGGCTAAACATGCCCAGCTCCCTTAGCCGTTCCTCATAAGGCATCGTTTCCAGGCCTTTGGCCATTTTGGTTGCCCTCCTCTGGACACGTTCCAGTTTGTCAGTGTCCTTCTTGAACTGTGGTGCCCAGAGCTGGACACAGTACTCCAGGTGAGGTCTGACCAGAGCAGAATACAGTGGCACTATTACTTCCCTTGATCTAGATGCTATACTCCTATTGATGCAGGCCCAGAATTGCATTGGCTTTTTAGCTGCCGCGTCACACTGTTGGCTCATGTCAAGTTTGTGGTCAACCAAGACTCCTAGATCCTTTTCACATGTACTGCTCTCAAACCAGGTGTCACCCATCTTGTATTTATGCCTCTCATTTTTTTGCCCAAGTGCAATACTTTACATTTCTCCTGTTAAAATTCATCTTGTTTGTTTTTGCCCTGTTCTCTAATCTGTCAAGGTCGTTTTGAAGTGTGATCCTGTCCTCTGGGGTGTTAGCCACCCCTCCCAGTTTGGTGTCATCTGCAAATTTGATCAGGATGCCCTTGAGTCCATCATCCAAGTCGTTGATAAAGATGTTGGATAAGACCGGGCCCAAGACAGAACCCTGTGGCACCCCACTAGTCACTCTTCTCCAGGATGAAGAGGAACCATTGATGAGCACCCTTTGGGTTCGGTCAGTCAGCCAGTTACAAATCCACTGAGTGGTAGCATAGTCTCGCTGTGCATCAAATGGGTCACGCGGGAGAAAAGCCATACAAATGCCAGCAATGTGAGAAAAGCTACAATTACAGGAAAAACCTCACCCACCACCAGCGACGTCATACGGGAGAATAACAGGAACACATGGAGCTTATGGGGAAAATGTTGTCATCGAAAGGCAAGCCTCACTGCACATCAGAGAACCCACACAGGGTGGCTTAGGAGTCAGCTCCTAATAATAAATCATAAATTTTTATTTATACCCCGCCCCTCCTGGTTCAGAAAACCAGGCTCAGGGCAGCTAGCAACAAATTTAAAACAATTGATGCAACAAAAAACAGCATAAAATACAGTATAAAACGTGAATAACAATAAATTCAGAATTCAAAAATCAATTTGGGGGGAAGTCCATCCAATAAACATTAGATGATCACCAGGGCTAGCTGGCTAAATTAGTCCTATTTGGACCAGCGAAGAGACCAGGGGAGAATAAAAAGGGGAGAGGGAGGGAAGGAAGGGGAATAAAAGATCAGGCTAAATTCAAATTGAAAGCCAGGTGGAATAGCTGTCTTACAGGCCCCATGGAAGGAAGTTAAATCCTGCAGGGCCCTGGTCTCAAGGGACAGAGCATTCCACCAGGTCGGAGCCATCACTGAGAAGGCCCTGGCCCTGGTGGAGGATAATCTGGCTTCCTTAGGACCTAGGAGCTGAGGCCCCTTTGCCCCCCCATAAAATATTTGAGGGGGCTGCCCCCCCCAAGTTGATGGGCATTGCCATTCAAATGTGTGTGTGCACTGTCTTGTGATCGATTATGTGGTGCGTAGCTTACCTGGGCCCCCTGAAGATTTTATTAGAGTTGGCAAACAGCTGCAGTGTGGAAACCTTCGAAGGCCAGGAGCGTAGAATGAATTTCAGCCCCCCCCCCCCCAATAATCCTTGGCTCTGTTTCCGAGTGACTGACTGTGGACGTACTGAATCTTAGTCCAGATATCTAGAATGTTGAAGTGTGTGTTTTCAACTTTTTTTAGTTTATCACTAATTTTAATTATTTTAACATTTGTTTCAAAGGGGTCTTTTTTAACCGCATTTCTCAATACAATCGTACCTCGGAAGTCAAATGGAATCTGTTCTGGAAGTCCGTTCAACTTCCAAAACATTCCGGAACCAAGGCGCAGTGTCCGATTGGCTGCAGGAAGCTCCTGCAGCCAATCGGAAGCTGTGGAAGCCCTGTCAGACGTTCAGGTTCCAAAGAACGTTCACAAACCGGAACAGTAACTTCCAGGTTTGCAGCCAAAACATTCATCTCACAAGGCGTTCAGGATCCGAGGTACGACTGTAATGTTATAGCTTCATTCTTTTCTCTCTCTCTCGATTTGTTTTAAATTTTCTGTTTTACAATTTAAAATACTCATTTAAACAGCCTTAAAATATCAATGACTTCCCTTCCTCTCTTTCTATGGTTCATTTTGCCTATCATAAATCCCTGCATATTTTACATAAACCAAACCATTCAGTATTCCATTATTGCATCCATCAAAACTTATTTACACTATTGAATTTATCTTAATGCTGCCAACATTTTCAAGTGTACACAATTCCCCACCCCCCATACATTCAATAAACATTTTACAATCTTCTCTAAACATATGTTCTTCTTGTTCTCTTATTCTAGATGTTAAGTCTGAAAGCTGCACATATTCTTTCAGCTTAAGTTGCCACTCTTCTTTGGTTGGAACCTCGCTCGTTTTCCATTTTTCGGCTAATGAAACACGGGCCGTAGTAGTAGCATACATAAATAACCTTTTTTGACACCTGGGAATTTCCATCTGAAATTCCTTCACTCTTTTACAGTCAAGCGGTATATAAATTTTATGAAACAAAAAATAAACTTGCTGAAACTGAGCTAGTTCTTTCTGTGAAACCCAGTGTCAGCATTCTTGATTGTAAACGTTTTAAGGCAGAGACCCTTTTTCTTTTCTCTCTCTCTCTCTTTTAAACTGTCCCAGAGATAGGGATGCTGTGACCCTTCAGGTCTTTTGGAATGTCTTTATAAACGACTTGGATAAGGGAATTGAGGGGATGCTCATCAAATTTGCAGATGACACCAAATTGGGAGGGGTAGCTAATCTACTGGGAGGGTAGTATTATAGTGTGTGTGTGTGTGTGTGTGTGTGTGTGTGTGTATCTGTCTTCCACTGCCTCTGCAGTTTGGTCAGACTCATGTTTGTAGCTTCGAGAACACTGTCCAACCATCTTGTCCTCTGTCGTCCCCTTCTCCTTCTGCCCTCCATCTTTCCCAACATCAGGGTCTTTTCCAGGGAGTCTTCTCTTCTCATGAAGTGGCCAAAGTATTGGAGCCTCAGCTTCAGGATCTGTCCTTCCAGTGAGCACTCAGGGCTGATTTGCTTCAGAATGGAGAGGTTTGATCTTCTTGCAGTCCATGGGACTCTCAAGAGTCTCCTCCAGCACCATAATTCAAAAGCATCAATTCTTCGGAGATCAGCCTTCTTGATGGTCCAGCTCTCACTTCCATACATCACTACTGGGAAAACCATAGCTGTAGCTATACAGACCTTTGTTGGCAAGGTGATGTCTCTGCAAGGGTTAAATGCACGGATGCTTGGAGGCAGCTTCCTAGAGAGGAAGGAAGTTGGCGGGAGGAGGCTCTTGGTCCTCCAGAGCGGAACCCCGCCCCCTCCCGCCTGGCTGCTCCCTCCTTGGAGACTGGTGCGCAGGGAAGAAGCTAAAGAGTTGTTTGCTGCTGCGCATTGCTTCGAGCAGGGATAAAGTTTTCCCAGCGCAGTGGAAAGAGTTTCCCTTGGTGTTTCCAGCTTCAGGGCGGGGGGGTGTCTGGTGAGCCCCCTCCCCATTTTCCTGGGTGGAAGACCTGCAGAGGCGCAGTGGAGGCAAGAGGGGGCGGGTGGGAAGACCCCTCCGAAGGGTGACTTGGGGAGAAAGGCCTTAAAAGCTGCCTTGCACTGAGACAGACCAATGGGGCCACCTAATATTGTCGACACTGGCTGGCAGCAGCTCCCCAGGGTTTCAGGCGGGGGGGGATTGGCATAGAATCATAGGATTGCAGAGTTGGGAGGAAGGAAATGCGTTCTCCCCATATTTAGTTCCCCGCTTGATTTATCCAGCTGCCCCATAGCAGAAGTACTGCCGGAAGGCAGTGCGGTGTAGTGGTGAGAGCAGAGCTTTCCAAATTGTGTCACTCGGCTGCAGTGTGTAGGTGTGTCTTGCGAACGCTTCTCACGTTCCTCCTGGGGCTTGAAAGGGTTTCGTTTAACCTCTGGTTTGCTAGTAAAACTGAATCAATGTGTCACACAATGATACGTGTCTTTAAAAGTGGGTCTGCGACGTGAAATGTTTGGAATGCTCTGGGTTAGCGTGTCAGACCAGGATAAGGGTTCAACCCCCCCCCCACTCCATCATGAAGCTCTCTGGGTGACCTTTGGCAGCCCCACGGGGCCGTTGTAGGGATTAACTGAGGAGGGGGGGGTGAACCATGTACTCTTTGGAGAAAAAGTCGGGATATAAATGCAGTAAATGAGAACTTCTGCTGACCTGCAAAAGAAAGATGGAGTGGCCAGCCAGATGGAGATGTCAGTTGCCAACCTTGGCATCTAGAGATCTCCACGTGGCCGAAAAGTGCCCAGGGGGTTTCTAGCACTGAGGTGGCGGTAGGAAGACATTCCCACAAGAGGAGCGAAGGCAACGTTGGCTAAGAGCAGGGCCAGGGATGTGGGGAAGAAAAGGCAGGGGAGTGCCTGTGAGGAGGGGGCTGGGGAAAACAAACAATATCCATCCAATAATATTCATTGAAGACTGGTAAGGCAGAAAGCAGGGCTGCCAGACAGTAAGTGGATCCACAACCAATTACAGGCAGAGCCAAATAATTCTAGTCACGTCCCCATTTGATACCATTTTAAACGGCCACAGCTTCCCCCAAAGGATTCTGGGAGTGGACGTTTGTTAAGGGCTCTGGGAGCTGTTGGGAGATCCCCTGTTTCCTCACAGAGCTGCAATTCCCAGAATTCACTGGGAAGGGGGGTTGATTCCTGCATTTGCAAGGGGTTGTGCTAGATGACCCTTGGGGTTTCTTCAGCTCTACACTTCTATGAATTTTTAGCCCCTCTGGGAACTGTAGCTTTGTAACTCTTAACATAGCAAGAGTTTTCCCCTCACAGACCATCTTGTTCACTTTGCAGGGCTTGGCTTCCTCCCCACCACCACCACATGCGTGGCCAATCTTTGCTGTGAGACAGACTATAGCAGAAACGACCTTCAGCCATGTTGGAGCAGGAGCCGAAGTTGCGGGAGCAGGGAACAACGGGCCCTGAAGCAGGAAGGAGCACCAACACCGTCGGATGTGGGTGCAGCGGGGACTTCTGGGACGGAAATGTGCGGAAGGTCATAATCAAGGAGGAGACCCTCTGCTCAGATGTGCCGTGCCAGCACTTCAGGGGGTTCTGCTACCAGGAGGCCGAGGGACCCCGGGAAGCCTGCAGCCAACTCCACCATCTTTGTCGTGAGTGGCTGAAGCCAGAGAGACACACCAAGGCTCAGATGCTGGACTTGGTGGTCCTGGAGCAGTTCCTGGCTGTCCTCCCCCCGGAGATGGAGAACTGGGTGAGGAGATGCAGAGCAGAGACCAGTTCCCAGGCGGTGGCCCTGGCCGAAGGTTTCCTCCTCAGCCACCAAGAGGATGTGAAGCAGGAACGTCAGCAGGTGAGGTGTTCATACCCATGGGGTCCCAATTCAGGTTTGACCGGCTCCAGACCACCAGCCTTGGAATCTGGAACCAGGCCTTGGTCCAATTCTGCAGCCCTTGTTCCTCTGGGATAAACCATAATCTCCAGATTCCCAGGTGTCATTTTTCTTAAACAAAGTAAATTCCTAGCGTTTTAAGAAACTGAGGCAAAAACATAAACACAATTCTTCCATTTTTTGTTGAGAAATTAGCCCGCTTCATCCTTAACGGCGTTTTCCTTTGACTGCCCCACACTGGGGAAAATCTGCCCCAGAAAACATTTTGTGGACATGTGTGTGTGTGTGTGAGAGAGAGAGAGAGAGAGAGAGAGAGAAACAGAAAGAGAGAAATTGAAATTGAAATACTTTATTGTCACTTGTACAACTTGTATACAGTGAGATTACACGAGCACCCCCCACTCAGCTCTCTTAGTCTTAATTCCCCTTGTTTACTGATGCACATCCACCAAACCCGAAAGTCAGTTGCCCTGTTGTTATCTTTTCATTCAGCAGCCTAACATGGATAGAAGCTGTTCTTTACCCTGTTGGTGCGACTAATCATGCTTCTATATCTTCTGCCCGAGGGCAGGAGATCAAGAAAGTGCTGGCCAGGGTGTGAATCATCCCTGAGAATTTTCCTCACTCTCCTGAGGCAACATTCTTCCGCTATTTCATCCAGTGGATTCACGGGACAGCCCATAATATCTTGTGCTGTATTCACCACCCTCTGTAGGCACTTCCTATCAGATGATGTCAAACCAGCGTACCACACCGCGATGCAGTATGAAAGGACACTTTCTATTGTGGACTGGTAGAAGGAGATCATCAAATTTTGATTGACATCGTTCTTCCACAATACTCTGAGGAGAGCAGGAGAGATGGATTTGGGGTGGGAGGGATGAATATGTGAATCGTGAGAGGTTTGTGTGTGAGAGTCCATGAGAATGGTGTGGTCACCTTGTAAAAAGGTAAAAGGTAAAGGACCCCTGGACAGTTAAGGCCAGTCAAAGGTAAGTGGTCCAAACCACTGAGCCTCTTGGGCAGGCGTCAGCAAACTTTTTCAGCAGGGGGCCAGTCCACTGTCCCTCAGACCTTTTGGGGGGCCGGACTATATTTGGGGGGCGGGCATGAACGAATTCCTATGCCCCACAAATAACCTAGAGATGCATTTTAAATAAAAGGGCACATTCTACTCACGTAAAAACACCAAGCAGACCCCACAAATAAGCCAGAGAGGCATTTTAAATAAAAGGGCACTTTCTACTCATGTAAAAACTCGCTGATTCCCAGACCGTCTGCGGGCTGGATTGAGAAGGTGATTGGACCAGATCCGGCCCCCGGGCCTTAGTTTGCCTACCCATGCTCTTGGGCTTGCCGATCAGAAGCTCAGCAGTTCAAATCACCGCCACGGAGTGAGCTCCCGTTGCTTTCCCAGCTCCTGCCAACCTAGTAGTTCGAAAGCACACCAGTACAAGTAGATAAATAGGTGCCACTGCGTCAGGAAGGTTAACGGTGTTTCTGTGCGCTTTGGCTTCCGTCATGGTGTCCCGTTGCACCGGAAGCAGTTTAGTCCTGCTGTCCTCATGACCCGGAAAGCTGTCTGTGGACCAACACCATGACACTGGAAAAACTAACCACCGCTTTTTAATGGAATGGCCCTCAGAAGCGTTTTTTAATCCACACTCACACATCCCTATTGTAACCCTACTTGGTCGTTGTATTTCAGGGCCTGTTTGCAGAAGAAGCCACTGACTTCTCCGAGGTACAGAATGCGGCCCCGGTAGACTCTCGGCAGAGGCTTCTGTCCAAGCTGATTAAGCAGGAGGAAGACGAAGACGCCACTTTGCGGAGTAAGGGCTAACAGGATAAAATATCAGCTTGGTCTCCCTCTCGCCATGACGGCTCCATGCTCTCGCTCCACAATCTGAGGCAGTACATTCCACTGAATAACAGTGAATAACAGGGATCGCAAGCGGAGAGGATGCTGTTGTGCTTAGTTTCTGCTTGCGGGGGCGCTTCCTGTAGGTATCTGGTTAGCCACCTTGAGAACAGGATTTTGCCCCAGACCAGACCAACACATTTCACTAGACACATGTTAGTAATTTGTTGTTGTTGTTGTTGTTGTTGTTTTAAATAGTTTTATTTGATTTTACAAGTTAAGAAAATAATAACAATACAACCATACATATCCACATTTACAGGTTCCTCCGAATCTCCGGACTTCCCACCTCCCCTCCATTTGTCCTATTATCAAACCTTTTCTACTGCATCTTTACCAATAATCTATATTTTATATAACTCCATTGTCTCCCTAGTACTTGCTACATTACAAGTGTTATTACAATCCTGCTAATATTTTCATCTGCTTACAGTGGTCTCCAAGATAACTTATCAATGTTCCCCATTCTTTTTTAAAGTTTAGGTCTTCTTGGTTCCTGAGCTTTCCAGTCAGTTTTGCCATTTTGGCCCAGTCCAACAGTTCAATTTGCCATTCTTCTTTGGTAGGGACTTAATCTTCTTTCCACCTCTGGGCTAATGGCATCCGTGCGGCTGTCATCGCATAAAAGTCTTTTCTGCTCCCTTGGAATATCAGCACCTATAATTCCTAATAAAAAAACTTCTGGGTTTTAAAAAAATAATAATTTGAACATTTGTTTCATCTCATTATATATCATTTCCCAGAATGCTTTTATTACATTTACAACAGATATTTGATAGTAATTTCTTGATCATCCTTATATCTTTGTACCCCTCATAGGAGATGTGCCAAGTATGCCAGTTATATGTTCTACCTCATTTCTCCCTTCCGGTCCAATGGAAGTGGTTTCTGGGCAACCGGATCAGGTAAGAGGCGGGATCTCTGGAGTGACAGCCCTGGGATTCTCTGACTTCCTCTGCCTGCTGCCCATCTCCCTCTTCCTGAAAGAATCTCTTTCCCTTTCCATCAGTCAGAGTTGCCCACTGCAATGCCACTCCCTAAAGGCCCAATTCCCCCATTATTCCCCTGGAGGAATCAGCTGTTGGACCACGCTTAGCAGCGGGAGAACTGTCAAGGGACACATACAAAGAGTTAATGCTTTGCTTATTGTTTTATTTATTAAATTTATATAGCGCCCTGCATCCAAAGATCTTTGGGCGGTTCACAAGAGAAAACTTTCTTGTCTATTTACAGTTGCCCTGTATCTTTGTACTTTTGTCCTTCCAGGCTGCGACACCGTATCGTTTAAAACTTTTGATTATTTCCCCCCTGTTCTTACATTTGCCCTTTTGTTGTTGTTGTTAATAAAATAAATGTTATTACTAATCATTTGAAAAAAGAAACTGGAAAAACCTCGCACCAAACCCTAGTTCATGCTAACCATACTTTAGAAACCAAGCTGTCATTCGATACAGGCTAACCATTGTCTAGAGCAGTGGTTCCCAACCTTTTTTTTGACCATGCCCCACCTAAGCATTTCTAAAATCCTGATCCGCGCCCCCCCCCCCCCGTGCCATATACAGTGGTGCCTCGCAAGACGAAATTAATCCGTTCCGCGAGTCTCTTCGTCTTGCGGTTTTTTCGTCTTGCGAAGCACGGCTATTAGGGGCTTAGCGGCTTTAAGAAAAAGGAAACAAACTCGCAAGAATTTGCTGACGTTTCGTCTTGCGAAGCAAGCCCATAGGGAAATTTGTCTTGCGGAACGACTCAAAAAACGCAAAACCCTTTCGTCTAGTGAGTTTTTCGTCTTGCGAGGCATTCGTCTTGCGGGGCACCACTGTAATTCTTATTACAGTGGTACCTCAGGTTAAGAACTTAATTTGTTCTGGGGGTCCATTCTTAACCTGAAACTGTTCTTAACCTGAAGCACCACTTTAGCTAATGGGGGCCCCTGCTGCCGCCGTGTGATTTCTGTTCTCATCCTGAAGCAAAATTCTTAACCCGAGGTACTATTTCTGGGTTAGCGGAGTCTGTAACCTGAAGCGTATGTAACCCGAGGTACCACTGTATTCAAAAGGTGAACTCCTATTCATGTGGAGGAAGGCTAAAAGCCCATTAACTGTTAATAACTCATTCTCAAATTGCCCCCCTTAAAAATCAAATCGCCCCCCCTTTGGGAGGTGTGCCCCACATTGGGAACCACAGGTCTAGAGAGTTGCTGTTGCATTAACTGTTAAGAGAATAAGAACTGTTGCATTCTCTCTCTCTCTCTCTCTCTCTCTCTCTTTCTCGCTTTGTTTTCCTTCCTTCCTTCCTTCCTTCCTTCCTTCCTTCCTTCCAGGTTTCCTTTGAGGAAGTGCCTGTACATTTCACCGAAAAGGAGCGTGCCCTGCTGCACCCTGGCAAAATCACTGTGGACCGCAAAGAATCCATGGCTGAGAATTCTGGGGTTGTGGCCTCTCAGCCTAAGTGCCCAAAAATCTCCAGCGGGAAGAGGACTTTAACCGACCACCACCAAGGAAATCACGCGGGGAAGAAACCGTACACCTGCCTGGAGTGTGGGAAAAGCTTCACGCGCAAGAGGAGCCTCACTATCCACCAGAGAAATCACACGGGGGAAAAGCTGTACAACTGCTTGGAGTGCGGAAAGGGCTTCACACAGAAGGGGCACTTCATTACACACCAGAGATCTCACACGGGTGAGAAGCCCTTCCAATGCTTGGAGTGCGGGAAAAGCTTCGCGCAGAAGGGGCACTTCACGGCCCATCGAAGATCCCACACGGGGGAAAAGCCGTACACGTGCCCCGAGTGTGGGAAGAGCTTCACGCAGACAACGCACCTCTCCACACACCTGAGATCTCACACGGGGGTAAAACCGTACACTTGCTTGGAGTGCGGGAAAAGCTTCAGCGTCAAGGCGACGCTTCGATCCCACCAGAGATCTCACACAGGGGAGAAACCCTACAAATGCCTGGCGTGCGGGAAAAGCTTCAGCATGCTTGCGAACCTTAGGAGACATGAGAGAATCCACGCCGGGGTGAAGCCGTACAAATGCTTTGAGTGCGGGAGGAGCTTCTGTAAGAAGGCCAGCCTAACTGACCATCAAGTAAGTCACACAAAGGAAGAACAAGCGGTGTACAAATTCTTTTAAATAAAATGAAACCTCCACGCCCAGAGGGGAGATCTTTGTGCAGAAGAAAACCCTTGCCGTACGTCAGATGAGTCACACAAGGGGGAAAGCCACATAAATGCCGGCTATTTGGGGAAAGTATAAATAATTACAGGAAGTGCATCGCTCCTCATCGATGAATCCGCACAGTGTAGAGTGTGGAAAAAGCTTTCCTTGGAAGACAAGCCTCAGTGCACATCAGAGAATCCACCTTAGAAAGTCAAGAGTGTAGAATGACCTTCAGGTCTAATAAGGCCCTTGAATCAGTTTCCAAACGGCTGGTGGGGTGAATGAACTGACAATATGGGGGATACTATTGGCGGGAGTTAGGAATGTAAGAAGAGATTACTGGATCAAGCTAATGGCCCCTCTAGTCTAGCATCCCATTCTCATGGTCGCCAACTAGATGCCTTGGGGAAACCAGCCAGCAGGATTCGAACACAAGAGTACTCTCCCCTCCTGTGGTCTGTAGCAACTGGCATTCAGAGGCATTCCAGGCTCAGTTCAAAGTGTGGCCGTTGACCTTTTAAAAGGCCGAACAGCCTAGGAAACAGAGTATTGCCTCCGTGCCCACAAATGTTGTGACACTTTGGGCACGAGCATGAAACATGCGAGTCGATTCCTGTCAGGGCGGGTGTCGGGACCGGGTCCACAATAGCTCACTAGGTTTCAGTGATGTTAAACCCTTTAGTCAAAGAAACAAAACAGTCCGGGCCTAGTGAGCCACAGCTGCTCTTCCTGGTAGATCTTGACCCAAGAAGGCCATTGCAAGGACTGAAGGTTTCTTCCAAGCAATCGGAGACTGCGCCAGCGAGCAGCCCGCCTTTGCTCTTCCCATTTCATACCTCTTCTGGTTCCGGGAGTCAGGGGAGCCTGTCGCAGCAGGAGGGGGAGACTCCTTGGCTTCCTCACCAGCCGGACTCATCTCTCCCTCTTCTCCAGCCTCCGCTTCTGCCTCTGATTCTGGGCTTCTCTCGGCCACAGACTCTCCCCGCTCACTAAGCCCTGTTACCTCTTCAGCTTCTGGCACCTCCACTTCCCCGTCTTCTCCCTGTGATCATTTACTGTCGTCCCCCCACCAATCCCCAGGCTCTGAGCCTTCTTCCCTTGGGGGTTCCTCTCTGGTTCCTCTCCCCATTCCTCAGCGTCCAACCAGCCCATGACATTCCTCAACCGAGAGAACTTGTAGCTCTTTATTGAATTACTAAATACTAACTAGTTTTTGCCTTATTTCCCCTTTGATATGTGAATAATAATTAGTGAATCCTGAAATAAACATTCCTCTCTCTCCCCCTGATCTTTTTTTAAATAATCTTTTTTATTGATCTTCAAAGATATAAACATACAGCATAAAACAGTACAAAATCCAAATATGGAGATTGCTCTGAATCTCCTGACTTCCCCCGTCCCTTTCATGGGTCCTTTTAATTCTATTTTCAGCTGCATATCAGTACTTCTCCAATTTTTCACCTTCCTAAGTTATCTCTACGTTCTGTTACGTTACGAGTGTATTTAAAATCCTGCCATCGTTTGACCAGTTTATAATGATTCTGCATATACTTTATAAACATTTCCCATTCTTTTTTAAATTTATTGTCTTTTTGATTCCTGAGCGTCCCAGTTAATTTTGCCATTTTGGCCTAGTCCATCAACTTGATTTGCCTTTCTTCTCTGGTCAGGGCTGTCTCTTCCTTCTCTCCCTCCGATCTTTTCTTTCTGCTTTCTGTTCCGTAACTTTATATGCAAGGTGGTGGTTTTTTAAGTTTTTATGATGGTGTTTTAATGGTGGGTCTTTGGGGTGGTTGTCGTTGTTATTGTTGTTTGGTAAGTTGTATCGCTGTATGTTTGTATAGTTCTTTTGAATATGCTTGTAAGCAACACTGGAATTGGGAGCTGGGGGATAAATGTCCTGAATAAACAGAACTTCCATCCTTCGTTAATTCTCCAAACTGACACTCCCCGCCCCTGTTGTAAACAAAAAATTGCCCTTTTCCCTCATGGGGTATCCAAGAGCCCATATAGAGTCCTTACATAGGTTCCCTATTGGTAGGAGAGAATAACAGAGGCCAACCAGACAATATTGAGAAGCAAAGCAGCTAGTAAGCTTGATCTTTATTGATCTGTTGCAACAGGGTGCTCCCCTCACACGCAGGAGAAGGAGGAGGAACCCAGAAAAATGGCGCACGAGGCCTTATAAAGACTTTTGAAATTGCCACCCTGTAGATCAAGACCACCCCCGGAAACATCATACATACATCACAGAAGGGGTGTAACCTCAGATACATCACAAAAAAGGCGGTCTAAACAGAAATTTAAATGTTGTTTTTCTCCTGTCCTTCTTTATCTCCTGTCTGGCAGGTTACTTGACTGGATTGCCTGGGGAGCCTGGCCATTCTTTTGTAGTGATAAAATACTTAGTTCCTGGGCCAGGTCACAGACTCACACCCTATTCATATCTTAAATGTGTCCTTAAGACAGGATTTGTGAAGGAAAAGACAATGGGGAGGCTTTTCCACTTTGACCTTGCAGAGAAAACATTTGCTCAGTTTAGGAATCAAAATGGCTTCAGGTCGGTCTTCCTGTGCTGATCTATGTACGTGCGGTTATGAACATTACCATATATCTAAGACCTCAAAATTCCTATCGCACCCCTAACCTAAGCATCTGAACTTGGAACATAAGAAGTTGTCAGATTGTTAGTTCATTGAGTTCGTCAAGTTCATTGACTGGCAGCATCTCTCCAGAGTTTCAGACAAGGGACTTCAAAACTCCTGATCGGCTGATGTCAGGTGATTGACAGGCAGGCAACTCTGCTCCCCCTCTGAATTTTTGCCTGTCTTGGTGCTGGGCTATGATAAGGATTTTGGACCCTCTGGCAAAAATGGGTTCCCAACCCTTGGTTCAGAAACGTTTCTCTGTCGCTGTGAGCAAACACTTGCCTACCCAGCTATACTTTCACAGGTGGCCTTGAGAAAACCTTTCCGCAAAACCTGGAGGACCCCAGCTGAACAGAGGGCTGTCTTGGGTGCGAGATCAGCTTGCCTGAGTTTTCGAAGGAGGTGCACAGAGGCAGCTGACCAGATGCTCGTCTGGATTGGTAGAACCCACGTTCCAGTGGGGGACACGACTCAGAAGGCAGCGTGGTGCAGTAGTTAGAGCTGGGAGTCCTCCAGCACAGCCCTCAAATCCCCACCCAGCTCCCTTGGTTCCTACAAAAGCTTCCTGCCCATCTTAGCATTCTCCGTGAAAACATTTTATTATCAATACCGCCCCCCCCCCCGGACATCCAGAAGACCAATGAAGAAAGCGGGGGGGGGGCTTAGATACTGACCAAGTGAAAAAAGGAAATCTTTGTATAATACCAGGGCCCCCAAATACTGTGGGGCCACTGCCCCCTTGGTTTCTTAAATTCATCCCCAGTGCCCCATACCGTATAAAAAGAATTATTCAGAATAGCGGCACTAAGGAAGACGATACAGCTGTACCTTGGTTTTCGAACAGCTTAGTTCTCAAACATTTTGGCTCCCAAACGCCACAAACCTGGAAGTGAGTGTTCTGGTTTACGAACTATTTTTGGAAGCCGAACATACGATGGGGCTTCTGCGGATTCCGATTGGCTGCAGGAGCTCCCTGCAGCCAATCAGAAGCCACGATTTGGTTTCCAAATGTTTTGGAAGTTGAACGGACTTCCGGAACGGATTCCGTTCGATTTCCATTTATTGATTTATTTATTTAATAAAACGCATACATTTACATTTACACAATACATATATAAACATACTACCTTATTTTCATAGCATAAAACATACCTACATTACTCTACATATAATACCTACCTATACTATACATATCAACATACCTACACACCTACCTCACATAGACACCCACCAAGTGACTTTGACGTCCAGCCGTTCTTGTTACTCTACTCTATTTTTCCAACTAGCTTAAACTCGTTATGTCTTTGATCTCTTTTTCTATCTTAACTTTACTCTTCTTTCACTCTAATCATTTTCTGGATTCACTCAGTATCTGTCAAAAATTCTACTTTTCCCCACATAGATTTTGATGTGTTCCTTAAAGATAGCCCACTCCTTATTCACTTTTTGTACCATATCTCCTCTTATCCTCTCTCTTAATTCGGCAGTATGGAAGTATTCCATCATTTTAGATAGCCAGTCTGTTTTAGTTGGGGTGATGCTGCTTTCCATTCGATTTCCAAGGTACGACTAATGCAAAAAATAAAAAAAATAAAATTCAAATCAGTAACAATTCTTGGCATCATCTTGAGAGACTTGTTAGAAAGCATGCCACAAAATTCTTTTAAACTAATAACGGGAAATGGAAGACTGACAGTTGTCCTAAAAAGCCTAGAGAAGATTCATATGTTTCTTGACTGCCTTGCAATCTGTATACTGGTACAAAAGACTCCAATGTAACAGAAAAATGAATTTAAGGCTCAGCTTTAAGGCTCATAACGTGTCTAAAGCATCTAGGAGCCAACTAGGACAAGCCTCTGTCATGCTAGGCCCCAGCACACTAGCAGTTTTCATCTTACCCAGCACATGTACGCCTTAGGGGGGGAGATGATAAAGCGGTTTACAATATACATAAAACCAAACAGGAATCAAAATACAAGCCAGACACCAATTAACTACTGTATATTTCTTTTTGTGTGCCTCCTGTAGAGGTCCAGAGGGTGGCAACGCAAGAACAGGGCCCTCTCTGCAGTGGCTCCCCTTCTGTGGAATTCTCCCCCCAGGGAAATTCGCCTGGCCCCTTCATTATACACTTTTAGGAGCAAGGCAAAAAATGTTCCTTTTTAACCAGGCCTTTGATTGATCTGATTTACATCCTATGCCAATTTAAAATGTGTTTTTTGGGGAGAAAGGAAGCACTACTGGGTTGTTGTTTTTATTTTTATTATGTATTTTGTGGTTTTATATCTTGATTTTATTCTGTGAACCACCCTGGTATAGGGCGGTATATAAATTCATATGATGGTGATGTTAATTCATGACGAGGTGGGGGGATTTGTACCCAGGTTTCCGAGTCCCTGGTCACAGAACTGTAGAATTGTAAGGGACCCAAGGGTCATCAGAGCAGGAATCCTTTGCCTAAGGCGGGACTCGAACCCACAACCCTGAGATTAAGAGCCTCATGCTCTACCATCCGAGCTATCCCAGACCAATGGGTCTGAGTTGGTACAAGGTGGCTTCCTAAACTCCTAACACCAGGTGCCCCTTATCCATTTTTTGTAAGGGAAGGAACTGGCTGAGAGAGATGGCACTGTGTCATTCAGCCCTGCTCCACATGAATTCCAGCAGGGGACAGTTCTACCTCGATCTGAAGATGCCATCTGGGGCTGAACCCGAGTCTTTCTGCAGGCAACGCGGCTGTTCTGCTTCCGAGATGTGGTCCCTGCCCTTAGAGATGAAGTAAGATTTCGGTCGCAGAGGTTGAATGGCCATCTGTCATGGATGCTTTAGCTGAGATTTTTGCATTGAAAGGGGTTGGACTAGATGACCCCAGGGTCCCTTCCGCTTCTATGAAGAGCTGCTTAAATAGGAAGCAAGGAAGCCATTTTCTGCCATTGCTCCACCCACCACACTATTACAGTGGTACTTCGGGTTAAGAACTTAATTCGTTCTGGAGGTCCGTTCTTAACCTGAAACTGTTCTTAACCTGAAGCACCACTTTAGCTAATGGGGCCTCATCCTGAAGCAAAGTTCTTAACCCGAGGTAATATTTCTGGGTTAGCGGAGTCTGTAACCTGAAGCGTATGTAACCCGAGGTACCACTGTATTCAAAAAGTGAACTCCTATTCATGTGGTAAAGGTAAAGGGACCCCTGACCGTTAGGTCCAGTCGCGGACGACTCTGGGGTTGCGGCGCTCATCTCGCTTTACTGGCCAAGGGAACTGGTGCACAGCTTCCGGGTCATGTGGCCAGCATGACAAAGCCACTTCTGGCGAACTAGAGCAGCGCACGGAAACGCCGTTTACCTTCCCGCCGGAGTGGTACCTATTTATCTACTTGCACTTTGACGTGCTTTCAAACTGCTAGGTTGGCACTACACTTCGGCTGCCAAGCCACTGAGCCCCCACTCACTGAGCTGTGTGGCCCCTTGTAGATAATGTAAGGTGCCAGACCTCATTGAGGAAGAGCTGCTTAAGCAGGAGCAAAGGCTCAGGTTGGTGAGAACCATCGTAGGTTCAATCCCCAATTTGGGCCACCTCCAAGTCCTGCATTGCAGGGGGTTGGACTAATCGCTGTCCCACAAATAGACCACCGTATTTTTCACTCTATAAGACGCACCAAACCACAAGACGCACCCAGTTTTTGGAGGAGGAAAACAAGAAAAAAAATATTCTGAATCTCAGAAGCCAGAACAGCAAGAGGGATCGCTGTGCAGTGAAAGCAGCAATCCCTCTTGCTGTTCTGGCTTCTGGGATAGCTGCGCAGCCTGCATTCGCTCCATAAGACGCACACACATTTCCCCTTACTTTTTAGGAGGGAATAAGTGAGTCTGATAGAGCAAAAAATACGGTAATTTGTCCCACAAATAGCTTCTATGATCCCTTTCTGCATGCAAAGCAGCCCTTCTCTGCTGACTCACACATAGGAGCCAACTCCTAGGGGCTGAGGGATCTCCCACCTCCCCCAATAAAATATATGAGGCGGCTGTCCCCCTAAGTTGATGGTCATTGCCAGTGCTTTTTTGTTCTTAAAAAAACGTTTAGGGGTACTCTCCTTTTGACTCAAGAAAATCACCATGTTATAGTTCAACTTGGGGAAAAATGAATACAGTACAGTAAATGGACCAAAGTACAAAAGATTCACAAAATGTTTAGGGCATTGCCATTCAAATACTGTGCGTGCACACTGTCATGTGATCGATTATGTGGGGCGGGGCTTACCTCCCCCCCCAAAAAAAATATTTCATTCAAGTTGAAATCCCTGGACCAACAGCAAGGGTTAAATGGCAGAGATGGATTCCTAGACAGGAAGGCAATTTGGGGGGGGGGTCTCCTCTAGAGCAACAAGGCTCCTCCCCATCCTGCTTTGGAGAGGGGCTGGAGGTTGCAGAGAGCGGGGACAAAGGAGGTTTGCAAGGCTTTCCAGGATTTTGCAGCAGCGGGAGGAAAATTGCTCTCTTTCTGGCCATGTCGGGGGATGTCTTGAAGGATGATGTCAAACTGCAAGATCGACCCCAGCCAGTGCAGGCTGGGGGCGGCGAGGGATCCTGGGGAGGGATCCTGCGGTGGATCCTGGGTGAAGGGGGCACCCTCAGCTCAGAGGCGCAGCGCCAGCGTTTCAGGCAATCCTGCTACCGAGACCCCGAGGGACCCCGAGAGGTTTGCAGCCGACTCCACCACCTTTGCCGTCTGTGGCTGGAGCCAGAGAGACACACCAAGGCTCAGATCCTGGATTTAGTGGTCCTGGAGCAGCTCCTGGCTGTCCTCCCTGCGGAGACAGAGAACTGGGTCAGGGAATGTGGAGCGGAGACCAGTTCCCAGGCAGTGGCCCCGGCAGAAGGTTTCCTCTGGAGTCAGGCAGAGGAGAAGCAAGGAGAGCAGCAGGTAAGAAGCATAGCATCCTGGAATTGTGGAGTTGGAAGGGACCACGAGAGGCATCTAGTCCAACCCCGCCCAACATGCTACTCGAACCCATAACCCTGAAATTAAGAGTTTTTTGCTCTACTTACTGAGCTATCAATGTTGTTGTTGTTATCATCATCATTAAAACTTATTAGTTTCTTGCCACATTGTTATTGTTGTTATTAATATTATTATTATTATCATTGAAACTTATTAGTTGCTTGTCACATTTTAAGTAGTAGTAGTGGTAGTTTCTTGTCACCAAGGGTCTCCAACTGACTAACAGCAAAGAAAAATACACAGTACATAATACCATGGGGGGGGGGGAGGAGAATGGGGGAACATATAATACATTAATATTTCCTACAGTATTACATTTAATGATCACCATAACGAATTGAAAAAAATGTTTAAAAGTACTTTCCAAAAAAACAGAGTCCTTTCTGTTGGGGATAATTCAGGCTGAAATTGCCAGGTGTCAAAAGAAGTTATTTATGTATGCTACTACTGTGACCCTTGGGACGCGGGTGGCGTTGTGGGTAAAACCTCAGCGCCTAGGACTTGCCGATCGCATGGTCAGCGGTTCGAATCCCCGCGGCGGGGTGAGCTCCCGTCTTTCGGTCCCAGCTCCTGCCCACCTAGCAGTTCGAAAGCACCACTAAGTGCAAGTAGATAAATAGGTACCGCTTTATAGCGGGAAGGTAAACGGCGTTTCCGTGTGCTGCGCTGGTGCCGGTTCGCCAGAGCAGCTTCGTCACGCTGGCCACGTGACCCGGAAGTGTCTTCGGTCGGCGCCGGCTCACGGCCTATAGAGCGAGATGAGCACGCAACCCTAGAGTCGGACACGACTGGCCCGTACGGGCAGGGGTCCCTTTAACTTTACTACTGTGGCCCATGTTTCGTTAGCCCAAAAATGGAAAATGAGCAAGGTCCCAACTAAAGAAGAATGGCAACTTAAATCGATGGAATACACACAGCTTGCAGACTTAACATATAGAATAAGAGAACAAGAAGAACATACGTTTTAGAGAAGATTGGAAAATGTTTATTGAATATAAACACTTGAAAATGTTGGCAGCGTTAAGATAATTTCAACAGTGTAAATAAGTTTTGATGGATGTAATAATGGAATACTAAATAGTAAAATTTCTGTAAAATACCCAGGGATTTATGATATGCAAAATGAACCATGGAAAGAGAAGAAGGGAAGTCATTGATATTTTAAGGATGTTTAAATGAGTCTTTTAAATTGTAAAACAAAATTTCCCATTGGGCTCTCTGCCTTTTTTCTACAGGGAAAGGACTCGGTCGCGATCTGGAATCTGATTGCAAAACACTGCCTGGCCTCCAGACAGAATCTCGTGGAACTGTCAGGGGATACTTCGGCCATCTTGGGAGCCGCCTCAGATCACAAGTCCAAGATGGCCGAGCAAGACTCGGTTGGCTCTCACGCAGGAGGAGAACCTAGCTCAACCCAGGCTGGGAGCAGTGGCGGATCCTGGGAAAGGACCACACCGGAGATCCTGGATGAGGAATATGCCCTCAGCGTTGATGCACGGAGACAGCATTTCAGGGAGTTCCAGTACAGGGAAGCTGAGGGACCTCAGGAGGTTTGCAGCCGACTCCACCATCTTTGCCATCAGTGGCTGAAGCCAGAGCGACACACCAAGGCTCAGATCCTGGACCTAGTGATCCTGGAGCAGTTCCTGGCTGTCCTCCCCCCAGAGATGGAGAACTGGGTCAGGGAATGTGGAGCGGAGACCAGTTCCCAGGCAGTGGCCCTGGCCGAAGGTTTCCTCCTGAGCCGAGCAGAGGACAAGAAGCAGAAAGGGCTGCAGGTGAGAGAGACGGTTTTCATCCTGATAGTTTTCAGGGGGTCAGAATATTCCCCATGTTCATTTTCTGGAAATCCTCGAAGGAGGGGTCAGCACGCCAAGGCCTTATTCTGCCCCATTCCTTTCCCAGTCCCTCTCTGTTTCTGATCTCTGCTGTTCTTTCACCTACAGGACCTATTTTCGGAAGAGGCCGTGGACTTTGCTGAGGCAGAGAAGGATCCGTCAGACTCCAGGCAGATCAAACAGGAGGAAGGCGGAGGTGCCACATCACTGGGTAAGGCTTAGCGTGGCATTATTGCCCGTCTTGGTCTTCCTCTCTCAGGTACACCTAAAATAAGCAGGCCTCGGTCCAGTATACCTGAAGGAGCGTCTCCACCCCCATCGTTCTGCCCGGACACTGAGGTCCAGTGCTGAGGGCCTTCTGGCAGTTCCCTCGCCGCGAGAAGCCAAGTTACAGGGAACCAGGCAGAGGGCCTTCTCGGTAGTGGCACCTGCCCTCCCACCAGATGTCAAAGAGAAAAACAACTACCAGACTTTTAGAAGACATCTGAAGGCAGCCCTGTTTAGGGAAGCTTTTAATGTTTAATAGGTTATTGTATTTTAATATTCTGTTGGAAGCCGCCCAGAGTGGCTGGGGAAACCCAGCCAGATGGGCGGAGTATAAATAATGAATTATTATTATTATTATTATTTCTCTCAGTCCCATGTTGGGGACAAGCTGTTGGCAATAAAAAAACGCTGAGTTTCAACACT